GCGCCGCCAACGAGCTCAATTGGAACAATGCAATATTTATTTCAAACAATAAGGCAACTTGTCTCTAACAGCTTCAGAGTTGTCGGCACTTTTACGAAAGGCTTAAGTACATATTTACAAGTCCCAGCAGCGAATGCGTGGTGTTTCAACATTTAAAAGCAGAATAACTAGTACTCCGGGCAGAAATGAGACTAGGTGTGTAGTTGGCACTGATCCGCACATTCCCATACTTCTTTGGAACACAGTCCTGCAGGCTAGCCACGTTCTTCTACATTAGCGGGTTCCGAATCAGTCAGTCATCACGGGTGATGAGAGTTCCGACAAAGCCGCGAAAGATTCCGACAAAGACCGTCCTAAGCTTGGTCTGCTGGGCAAGTTGGTAGTGGACATTCATATTAAAAATAGCGCAAAAAAGAATAGCGTTTGTCCTGTGTGCTTCTTCGTCTTTTTGTCCCGTCTCTTTTGCGCTATTTTTAATATGACCGTCCTAAGCCTCGCGATCTCTTTGTTCCGTTCAGATACCCAATCAGTACACTGTCAAGCAAGAGTGGTAATATATTTTTTTCACATTAAGGCCGACCACAACCGAACCTACTCTCCGTTGGGGCCAAATCAAAGTGCGCCCAAATTTGTGCATCGCCACGGAGTTCTATGTCTTTGAGTGTTTGCTATAGCCGGCTGCACCAAACGAGCGCACCAAAATCTCAGGATCACAAGGAATTCACTGGGTGTGATTAGTTTAGCAGTTTATAGCAAACGCACGAAAAGACAAGGACCATGACGACGCACTTTTGGCGCTGCCAAATCGGCCCCTTCGTATCGTGGCGCTGCCGTCGAACTTGGTATGAAACTGAGTACAATATTTAATTCGTGTGATTATTTTGATTTCTTTTTGTGTCTGTCTCTACTCTCTTTACCCGGATAGAATTATCCTTCATCTGGCCGTCCTGTTTCTCTAGTTCAATAGGAGCCACACTTCACAGGTTACGTCCTGTTGTAGTTTACATAAAAAAAGGTTTCTTCGTCGCATTGATAAATCCGCCGGTACGAAACAGACTGGTCTGCAGTTCTTTAGAAGCCATAGAAATCCTTATAATTGTGCGCACCCACTTCGCCATCCGGAGGCAGGTATACCTCATATAGAAGTGTGTAACATGTAGGACAGATCATTTATCGCCGAGGGAGTGCCCGGCGAGTTAGAGAAATACCGTCTAGGAGACAAGGCCCGTTCTTTTCTCCCCCAAACGTCATCACCAGTGGAGCCAAGCAGCAGGGTATCGGAACAAAACGAAAACCAAAAACGAAAAACGAAAAAAACGATATTTTTGGGCGGAACGGAAACGTAATCGAAACGTTATTTATTATTTTGTTCCGGAGTGAAACCGAAAAATTTTCTTATCGGTTTTCGGTTCAAGGGAAAATATCAGGTATTTCAGTAATTCGTTTCACGCAGCGACGAGACGGCCGTTGGTTTGTACAATAATTAAAGAGAAGACAAGCAAGCCATCGCTCCCGCGTCTAAACTCCGGGCGAACAAGCATAGCAAAAACAAAGACAAAAAATACAACGAGAAACAAAAAACATGACGCAAGGCGCCATCGCTTCCCACCAATGAGAGCGCGGTAGCGCGACGCCTCCACACGCTCGCAATGCTCTCCTTGGCTCTTGCACCCTCTTCCTCCATGCTTTCTTCTGACGACACAGACAGACAACAGATCGCGGCAAGCGCGGGAAGTTTGTGACCCGGCGTTGTAGAAGTCCATCTTTTGTTTTTCTACGGATACGGCAGTCTTAGACTCTGTTGCAAAAGTGTACTTCATCCCTATGGGCCTTCAGGGCCTTCTCGGCGCTGAAATTTATTTTATCGGACCAGAGGTCTTGCCTTTCACCGAGCACACTTGATGACGTGCTGCTTCTGAGATCATGCTCGGTGCCTTGATCATGATCTCATTCTCAAGGCAATGAACATGATCTCAGAAGCAATGTCGTTTCCGCGGATTCCTCTAGAGCGCCTGAATTATCTATTTTTGTGTAAAAATAAATGTTACGTTCCTTTTAATTTTTGTTGCGATTTTTTTTCATAGAAAGAAACCGTTACGAACCGTTACGGAGCATTTATTATTCGTTCCGGAGCGGAAACGGAACGGAACTTTTTTGTACGGAACGAAAATGAAAACGGAACGAAAAACATTTCGTTCCAACACCCTGCCAAGCAGCGCCCCCTATAGCTTGTGCCAGCGTCTTCGTCAGTGTGTCCTGCAGCGCCTCAGAGAGAACTCAACGCTTTAGCACACGGCGACGCCAAGACGCACGCGTCATTCGCTTTGCGGCGATTCTCGCCGAGCGTAGGCGTGTTTGCCGCGCTTGGGGCGGGACCCACTAATGATGACGTCATGCAAAGCCCTTGTCTTCTAAGTGGCACTGGTTAGGCTCGGCTGAACGCTTCGATAAGGTACCGGATGCCGTGCGCGTCTTCTCGTGAGACACGAGGTTAGTGTGAATATTTTTTTGCCCATCTTATTTCATCGCGCCAAGCCTTTCCTCCTATTTCATTCAGTATAGACCGACACGCTGTTTACAAACAAGCCCTCGTTTGCCCACACCAGGTGTGGGCACTGCACGTGCGCAGAAACCGAATTTACGTGAATCGTCTGCGCATGCGCAGTGCCGTCAACAGCGCCACCGCAGCTGCGTGACGTCATGGCCGCGTGTTGGTCTATAGACCGTTTAACTGAAAGAGGGCGAGAGAGTGAAGGGGACAGGGGTTTTGCGCTGTTATCTTCACTGAGTGGTTATGAACGACCGAAGGACCCGGATGAACGCCTTGGACGGTTGCGTCTCTCCAAATTCGCTTGTTTTCTTTGTGGTCTCCTCTATTTTATTTGACTTCCAGATGTAGTTAGAGTTAGCGGAATCATGATGACAGTCTTCTGATCATCGGGACATCATTGTTTGATAATAGGCTGCACGAATAACAACCGAAAGTGCAGAACATTACCGGAGGACATCTCTATACCTCACGGGTTCCGACAAGGCAACTGCGGCTGCAATGTCTTCAAACTCCATCGCTTTCCAAATGACCAAAACCTCCGGCGGCAGTAAGTTGCGTCCTTAAACAGAAAACACTTTCCCCTGACGCCATCTTCTTGAGTGTGCTCTTATCATTTCATAAATAGAGCGCGTACTGAACTTACCGCTGTACCGTCGATGGGTTCCGAACGCAAGTGATAAGTGTTCTCGTGAGAATCACTCTTTCAGCTTGTACCTTTTCGTAACTTAATTTATCCAACTGCTGATATCTTGTTGTGGTAGCATTGAGTCGATTTTATCATCTATAACACTTAGTCGAACGCTCATTTCCGCCACCGGGTGTGACTGAAAATTCTCGAAAAGTTAGTTCTATCGGTGTTTCTTAATCTCGATCTCCTCCGCGATAGCGGAGAGCCGTGAACTTACGGCGACCGTCACAACGCCGATTGGGTTCTTATTTTGCAAAATAGTACATAACGTAGCTGGAAAGAAAACTCTATTTCGTATTGCCGACACATGCTCATGCATCGATTTTCTAATTGTTGAATCATTGATAGACTCGCTCCGGCAATGGACACGTCGACGCGGAATACTCCATTAAGACTTGTATAAACATCTCGGAGCAGGAGAGAGCTGCCTTCGATCGCTCCCTACAATGCTCTTATTTCGCGCATCCTTGTTCCCATTATATTTCATTGTTGTGGGCGACACGAAACTACAAAAATATCCTCGGTGTACTGCATCTAAAGAGACAAAAAATCTAACGGTAAATTCAATCGCTGAAAACTGATACAATACTTTGAGCACTCGCCTCCAATTACGATCGGTGGCGGGTTCGGTGTCGCTCTTCTCGGCATCGCCACACTGGCGGATGTCATAACGAGGGGCCGGAAACGTTCTCAATGAGTTGAAAAACACCATCCGCGGCACAAAGAAACACAAGACGCGCTCCAAGTCGGATACTCAGAGCTTTGGAGCACCCAACAGTACACCCAACGCGAGAGAGGTGCCCCGAAGAGCACTTTCGACAACCTTTCTAACCACTCAGCATGGCCGCGGAACCTGATGCTCTCTAGATGGCGCTGCAATATTCAAAATGGCGCTACCCGCGAAAAGCGGTTTGTACAGTGGCAGTGCTAAATAGTAGGTAGAGGCAGGACGCAAAGACCAGCCTCTCATTTAGCCTTTCTTGTTTTCTCTTTCTCTCTCTCTCTTTGGATAAAGAAATCAATTTGAGAATATGAAGATGTGTCTGGGCAAATCTCCTTACTTCATAATTCTGACTAAGACAGTTATTTATTAGGTCATATAATCTCTATATCGACATTATATTCAAATAATAATAAAAAATAGGCTGAGCCATAAAAAATTGTTGCTATTAGTCAACATATTCAATTTATTATAAACAATTCTTACAAATTATGAAAAACATATTTTTAAGAAACATGAATTGCCCCCTTGTTGATTCGCTAAAGTAAGTTGGCCAGGAATTAGATCATTTGTTTGGGAGTGACTAGACTTAAAATTTTTCAACACTGAGAGCAGAGGGAGCTGTAATTTGATGCACCATCATGAGCGAAGTGTATTACTAAAGAGCATTACATTTATTGTAGTTTTTAGTGTCTATATAAGGCTGTGTGCAACAAATAAGGACTTCCAAATGCTTAGCTACACAATAACCCAAGGACTGTCTTGAATTTAGTACATAACGAAAATGTGGAATTCATATCCATGTCAAATAATAATGCTTTTGAATAACTTCTGATAACGGAAAAGGAGCTCCGAGAAAAAAAGTTTCCAGGCACCATACATACCCAAAGGCTGCTCCTAAATATCCAGGTCTTCTTTCTAACGGATCTATTGTTTTTATCCGGAAAGTGTTGTTCTTAAGTCTACAGCTATGAACCAAACGTTCCGACATTATAACCAAGGCGAAGAATATCGCCTACAGAAAGACATCGCCAACCGCAAACGTATCAAATTATACATTTTATTTTTCCAAGGTCACATGTGATGAATGAAAGCCGTGCGCACTATGGCCAAGCGTAACACATTGCAAAACAGCTTCCCTCCTGCAATGTAATGACTTTTGATTATGAGCTCAGAAAATGGTTCCATAAACTATTCTTTTATGGGCATGTCAAAATTTAAGGAAGTGGAGCGTTTCTCCACATCCATTCAGGAACGACCGTGTCATCGTCGGTGTGGCTCGACTCGTGTAGGGAATGTTCGACGTCCTCGGGGTGGTATGGAGCCTGCACAATGTCTTCTGGACTGTAAGGAGACTGGCCTGTGTGTTCTGGGTAGTAGGGCCGTTGCTCCACATGGGGCTCGGGGATATCTTCAGGATGATATGGTTCTTGTACAATATGGCCAGCTGGTTGTTTTGGTTCAAGATCTGGAACGTCCTCAGGCCTATAAGGATATTGGCCCGCGTGTTCAGGCTCATAAGGCCGTTGCTCCACGTGTGGCTCGGTAATATCATCTGGGTGGTACGGTTCTTGTGCAATGTGGTTAAGGGGTCCTTGTATTTCGGCGTTTGGAATTTCCTCAGGTTGGTAGGGAAACTGTTCTATATTATCTGGGTGATAAGGTTGTTGCTCCATGGCTCCAGGAGTGTAAGGTTCTTGGACAATATGATTTACAGGGTTCTCCACATCGTCAGGTCTGTATGGTTCTTGAACGACATGGCTAGTTGGTTCTAGCTTGCCAGGGCTTCCGGTCTCTTCAGTATGGTATGGTTCTTGAACAATCTGACTTATGGGTTCCTGCTTACTGGGCTTCTCTGTGACTTCTTCAGGATTGTAAGGCTCTTGGACAACCTGGCTTGTAGGCTCCGGCATATTTGGCTTCACGGTGACTTCTTCAGGATTGTAAGGTTCTTGGACAATTGGGCTGATGGGTTCAGGCTTACCGGGCTTCTCAGTGACTTCTTCAGGATTGTAAGGTTCCTGAACAATCTGGCTCATGGGTTCCGGTTTGCCAGGCTTGTCGGTGACTTCTTCAGGGTTGTACGGCTCTTGGGCAATCTGGCTGATGTGTTCAGGCTTACCGGGTTTCTCGGTGACCTCTTCAGGACTGTAAGGCTCTTGGATAATCTGGCTGATGGGTTCCGGCCTAGCAGGCTTCTCGGTGACTTCAGGATTGTAGGGCTCTTGAACAATCTGGCTGATGGGTTCTGGCATACCAGGCTTCTCGGTGACCTCTTCAGGGTTGTAAGGCTCTTGGACAATCTGGCTGATGGATTCCGGCTTAACAGGCTCCTCGGTGACATCTTCGGGGTTGTAAGGCTCTTGGACAATCTGGCTGATGGGTTCAGGCTTACCGGGTTTCTCGGTGACCTCTTCAGGATTGTAAGGCTCTTGAACAATCTGGCTGATGGCTTCTGGCTTACCAGGCTTCTCGGTCACTTCTTCAGGATTGTAAGGCTCTTGGATAATCTGGCTGATGGGTTGCGGCTTAGCAGGCTTCTCGGTGACATCTTCAGGGTTGTAAGGCTCTTGGACAACCTGGCTGATGGGTTCCGGCTTACCGGGCTTCTCGGTGACATCTTCAGGGTTGTAAGGCTCTTGGACAATCTGACTGATGGGTTCCGGCTTACCGGGTTTCTCGGTGACCTCTTCAGGATTGTAAGGCTCTTGAACAATCTGGCTGATGGGTTCCGGTTTACCAGGCTTATCGGTGACTTCCTCAGGATTGTAAGGCTCTTGAACAATCTGGCTGATGGGCTCCGGCCTAGCAGGCTTCTCGGTCACTTCTTCAGGATTGTAAGGCTCTTGAACAATCTGGCTGATGGGTTTCCGCTTAGCAGGATTCTCAGTGACATCTTCAGGGTTGTAAGGCTCTTGGACAATCTGACTGATGGGTTCCGGCTTACCGGGCTTCTCGGTGACATCTTCAGGGTTGTAAGGCTCTTGGACAATCTGGCTGATGGGTTCAGGTTTACCGGGTTTCTCGGTGACCTCTTCAGGATTGTAAGGCTCTTGAACAATCTGGCTGATGGGTTCCGGCTTACCAGGCTTATCCGTGACTTCCTCCGGATTGTAAGGCTCTTGAACAATCTGGTTTATGGCTTCTGGCTTACCTGGCTTCTCAGTCACTTCTTCAGGATTGTAAGGCTCTTGAACAATCTGGCTAATGGGTTCGGGCTTACCGGGATTCTCGGTGACTTCTTCGGGGTTGTAAGGCTCTTGAACAATCTGGTTGGTGGCTTCTGGCTTCTCGGTCTCTTCTTCAGGATTGTAAGGCTCTTGGACTATCTGGCTGATAGGTTCCGGTTTACCAGGCTTCGCTGTAATTTCCTCAGGGTTGTAGGGCTCCTGGACAATCTGACTGATGGGTTCCGGCTTACCGGGACTCTCGGTGACTTCTTCAGGCTTGTACGGCTCTTGGACGATCTGGCTGATAGATTCTGGCTCATCGGGCTTTTCGGTGACTTCTTCAGGGTTGTAAGGCTCTTGGACAATCTGGCTGATGGGTTCAGGTTTGCCAGGCTTCTCAGTGACTTCTTCGGGGTTGTAAGGCTCCTGTACAATCTGGCTGATGTGTTCCGGTTTACCAGGCTTCTCGGTAAATTCTTCAGGGCTGTACGGCTCTTGGACAATCTGGCTGATAGGTTCCGGTTTACCAGGCTTCTCGGTGACTTCTTCAGGGTTGTAAGGCTCTTGGACAATCTGACTGACCGGTTCCGGTTTTCCAGGCTTCTCGTTGACGTCTTCAGGGTTGTAAGGCTCTTGGACAATCTGGTTGATGGGCTCCGGCTTATTGGGCATCTCGGTAACTTCTTCAGGGTTGTAAGGCTCTTGGACATTTTGACTGATGGGTTCTGGTTTACCGGGTTTCTCGGTAAATTCTTCAGGATTGTAAGGCTGTTGGACAATCTGACTGATGGGCTCAGGCTTGTTGGGTTTATCACTCGCCTCTTCAGGATTGTAAGGCTCTTGCACTACCTGGCTAATCTGTTCCTGGTTACTAGGTTTGTTTGTCACCTCTACGTGTGTATAAGGCTCTTCAACCATCTGACTTATTGGCTCTAGTTTCTCGTTTCTATCTTCTGGAGGCTGATCCCCTTGAAGAGTAGTGTATTTAGTGTTCTGCTTCGAGAACGGTACTTTTACACCTCCGTTGTTTTCTTCCTTCATAATTTCAACTTCTCGCTGTCCTACTTCATTAGCACAGGGGGTACAATGACAAGCCGTGGGCTGACGGAAAGTCTTGGTTAGTGTTTTTCCATTTCTGCATGTCAGCTGAATCTTGCGCAGTTCCCACTGGGTTGGGTTACAGCACTTGCAGTTCGCGGTGACATCATTGGAGTTACCTAAAGACAATGGCAGAAATGCAAAGAGACACATCAGCTTAGTAAGAAGATCTTAATGCGCTCTATTTCGTGAATAAGATTTTAGCGCTTTTAATACACTTTGAGCTTTGGTAGTTTTTTTAAATATTATTTTAGCTATTTTGGATCATCACATTTTTAAAGGGGTGAGGAGGGTAATAAATGTCGTTATAATATTTATAATAACAAGAATGTTTTTTTAAGGAGAATGTTGATCTTTAAATGAAAGATTTACAACCCCTCAGCTTTGTTGGCAGCGATAGGCACGCAATATTTGGACAACAAATAAAGCACGAACGTACACAAAAACATAACGTTTAGAGAAGAGCAAATAATTTGTAATCGTATTGGTTATGTTATTAGTTTAGGCAAATAAATCAGGTTAGTGGGGGAGATTCATGGGACCCATTACTGACAACTTTGTAAAATTTTGTCTTAATACACCAAGCTGTTAAGATCTTATTCGTATCTAAATGAATACCTGTAGTACCAAGCAGGACAATTTGCAAAGAAATAAGTAATTGCAAATATTGGGTTATCGAAAAAATAATATTAGTGTAAGAAAGTTGAATATTAGTGATGAACAAATCTTGTGCCCGCACTTGTTCGATGCTTTAATTTTACGTATGTTCAAAAGCTTTTTTTATTTAGAAAAAAAAATCGGGTTCTATCTTTTTGTGAACTAGCGATGAGAAGATTACCTTTGCATATAGAGAGCCATAAGTCAATCTATGTTTCTTGAAGCTACCTTTTTAGCAAAATATTACCTTTTAAAAGCTAATAATTGTCTTTCTACTGGTCTGTCCTATTTTTTTTTCTACTCCAAACTAATGGTGAATTTAGTTGATTAAAATCAATCTGCACTCTAAAACTATCACCTGAAGATGGTTATCTCATGGCATAATTGGATTGCCTAGTCGCGACACCTTAGCCCATAGAGTTATTATAATGTACGCCACAGTCTCAACTGGCGCTATGTCTATGCGACCTCCGGGATGCAAATTGAAGCAGACAGCCACCAGTCTACTTTTGCGGTGCTCCAGTGCATTCCTATGGGAAAAAGCGCGTATATTTGGTCTCTTTGCAGGAAATAACGTAGACCGCTTTTGTTATTTTGGTCGCACCGGATAGTATGTACATTTTGTTTATCATCGTAAAAGTGTGATTGGTTTAGTTACAGCATTTTTTCAATCATGCAGTGAATGATACTTAGCTATATTTAAGGCCCAAACCAGTGTTCCACAAACGGTGTGTAAACACGAGCGAAGAATACGAGCAAATAAATAATCGAAACGTACGTAGAGTGTCTTCAAGGTTCGCCAACATTCCGGTGACGTTCATATATTGCTAATGTGGCAGTCTTGTCGCATATATAAAAATTACCCTGTTGTGCATACTTGCGAACGGGTAAAAGCATTCAAGCCGCAAAGAATAAAGTAAGGGCAATGAAAACTGTCTCGTTATTATTTCCTAAGCCGGGCAGCTTTTATCGGGCACTTGTTTTATGGCTTCTCTATATTTTTAAAGATGTCGAGCTTGCGGATGACGTTCTGAACGCAGAACAAGCTTCCTCGCACTAATGCACGAGCAGAGAGAATTAAGCAATACTTATTCATTGGAAATAGAACTAGATTAAGTTCGTCTTCACTTTATTTTGATCGCCCATATGCAGGGGGAGTTACTGCGTAGTTCTTGCCGTCTTTCTTGATCTTCCACATGTTCTTCATTTGCTTGGTCGTAAATAACCCATGCAGAAAGGCGCCGACGACGTGTTCACGCTAATAGTGTCCGACAGCACACATAAATGCATGTTTGAAGCTGCTTTAGCACTGTCTTTAACTACATAAATTTGACAAGGAAACACTGTAACTGATCATGATTTTCATTTACCGGATTGAGAATTGTTCCAAACTATTTAATACGTTATAATTATTCCTTATATTTACTCTTATATTGAGGCTCAAAAAAAAAAAAAGCGCGCCCACTTTTTTTTCCGTAGAAATGCATTACCGGAGGTCAATTTTTCGACTGGTTTCTGTCTGCTTCAATTTGCCACAGCACACTAGCGCCAGCTGAACCTCTAGCCTACATCATACGACCCTACGCCTTAGCCTAGGCAGAAAACTCGCTATTAAAACAACGATTAACACGAGAGGGTACAAATTGTAAACATAACTGTATGCAAATTCACTCCTTAAACTTGTCAATACGCGCGAAAGTAGCAATGAAATACAACTTACATAATTTAATTAGGAAAAAATAAGAATTTAATATGTCACCACCAGTTATATATCGTGTTTTTTATTCTAACTCAAAAGTTATCTCAGCAGCCCGTAAGCATGCAATACAAATAAACGTGCACAAAACAATTAATTCTTCAGAACTTTCTTTTTGTCTTTCTGGAGATAATCATTAGAAGGAGATTAACCGACCAGACGAAACGGACACATTTTGGAAATTGAACACGGCCGTAATGTTTTCCCCTAAACATCAACTACTCCTTGCCGATTTAGATAAAAATAACTTACTGCCTTCATTCTAAACGCGCGCACGTGAATAATGTATTATTTATAACTCAATCATTTCCAATTGCAATAATTTCTCTCAGGATTGTAGCGGGGTGGAGCAGTTGTGCAGAACTAGAATAAGCCTTATGCAATAAGAATGATCTACCCGCCTAGAGTGTAAGGTGTATTCCTATGCCCCTTCTTACCCGTCGTGAAGAGGGAGTGCGACTCGCAGGTTCCTGCGCACTCCCTGGCTCCAGTGACCGGCCTCGGGTTGGTGCAGAGTCCCCATCGTTCGTGCTCGAAGCGGAACATCCTCACGCTCTCCCTGTCGTTCAAGGGAAGCGGCGCGCAGGCTTCCTCGGACACTGCGATGGCGGGAACAGAACACTCGTCAAGGCCCGAAAGCCCCATGCAAAATACCAATATCAATAATTAAACGAAGGTTCCAACAGAGAAAACAAAATGTTTTGCTCGCACGCTATTCGCTAACAGCGAGCAGTAGCAGTAAACTACCGATAACCAATCGCAACCTAACAAGCTGTTCTTGACTTCTCACGCGTCTTAAGAATGGCGGGACCAGTTCAGAGCATCTCATTATCGCAGCCAACAGGATTGTGGCGTTAACCAGAAGAACGAATCATGAAGCATTTAGCTTGGCCGTAATAAGCTGAGCCCTGCGTTTCTTCGGGATGACGACTTTCTTGGGCTGTTTGTATAGCCGTTATGCGGCGAGGCAGCATGCCGCAATCAGGCGCCCGTCTATGCGAAAAAGTTTCCACGCCCTTCGAAGAATGCTGTCTTGAGATGATCGACGCGCAAGTTTCAGGGACGGTCCATCAGGTAGACCCTAAAGCTAGACCTAAAGCCGCTCGTCGTCTTTTTTGTGCTTAGGTTGTCGTCATGTCAACTAATCGAGCGCAGATAATGCGCCCTGACCATGGAATTTTGGTCTCCGCCTCTGTATTTTCTACATTGGACCGCGTTCTAAATTGTGGTGTACCGATGTATAACTGGAAGTGTACGAGAGCAAACGTACCGATGGTGACGTTACATGTCTGGCAGCAGCGATTCGCGTCCCAAACCACCTGGTCCTGCGTTGGAAGAAACAAGAAGTCATACAAAATATTAGTAGCCTTTGAACCCTAATGGGATATGTCTTGGGAGATTGGTAACAGTGGCTCTGTGTCACCCATGTTTCGACCGAAATGCACGTAGTTACTGGAAGGCTGGATCAAAATGTGAAAGCCACGTACCATGGCTGCGTTTCGCTGCAAATGCTCCCACGACACTCATGCTGAACCATTATTTTTGTCATAATGTCACAAAAATCGCCAGTTATTTATGTTTTGGTCGGCTTCTAAACGAAGAAATTACAATTACGCAAATTATCGCAATAGTATTCGAGCAAAATTTTTTTTAATGCCCACAACATTATTGTTGCAATTTAATGATGGATAAAGCTTTTTTTTTGGTAACAGAGAAAAACCAAATAAGAAGCAGACATTGCCTACCGTCTAGCGGTGCCGGCTTCTCGTTGGTGCTTGACTATAATTATTATTAATGTACTTCAGAATCCACCGTTGTTACCAGAACCAAGTATCACACAGAACACCCTGCCAGGCACTTCATACTATAAAATTACGCTATTTACGTTAAGGTCGGCTCACACATACATCAGAAAGCTAACTCAGCACCAATAATAGCGCTGACGATGGCTTAAGCGCCATTTAGCACTGATCTGGCCTATATCAGCGCTTTTTCACAAATAAAGCCCGAAGTGAGCGCTGCATCAGCAAGGTCAGCGCTACTTCTAGCGATGACCAACAGCGCCAAGGTAGCGCTGTGATGTATGTGTGAACAGGCGTTTGGAGTGTAAGATGAAATAAAAAAAGAAAACTCTAAGCAATATCGAGGTTTGAACTTGTTCCGAAGAAGCGAACGGGACAAACTCTCTGGTAGAGACGTACCTTGTGCAGACTTGTCAGGTACTTACTCCAGGTAATCCAGTTACTTGTAATCGAATAATTTTTGAAGCAATATTGTAATCATTTGATTGCCTTTATTAGGTAGTATTCGTAACAGTGCTCTGAATGCTTTTGAAAGTAATAGAATTACTTGTAACCGTTAATATGTTCCCCTCCCCTTCCTAATGGCGCTCTGGGTTATTTACTGTTCCTTTCAAGTATTCAAGCAATACAATATAAATACTTTCTAACCAGGAGTAATTGCAATCGATTACTTTATTTGATTAAGGTGTACGAGACGTACCTTGGGGCACTTCTTGGAGACCGGAGCGCAGGAAGGGCTCGTGTACACGATGCGCGCAGTGTCTCCGGCCTGCACGCACTCTGCCCGGTAGCACAGGTGGGAGCTCGAGTTCCAGTGGCTGCCCACGGGGTGCATCACGCCCGCTTCTTCGCAGGCCACAATCTGGCAGCGAGGGCAGCACTCGCCGGGGCCCAAGGGCAGTGCCTGGGCGTTCTGTTGCCGAATGGAAAAAAGGTCATGATCCCTGTTTGACGTCCTTCCACCGACTGCATTGCAACATCAGAACGAGTACATAGTTAGGCCCTTCCATTCTCGAGGGATAATCTTTGCCAAATATTCTAATACTTAATTCATTCATTTTTAATATCACGATGATCTTTGATTCCTTTCATTTTCGGTTGTGCACCAACAACTCAAAGAAGCAAACAGGAGAACAACAAAAGGAAACTGTGCTCGGTTGCATTTCGCAGGGAGCTTAATTGCTCCCACGGTGATATACCTTACTTTGCGGCAATTAGTTTATTGTAACCAAACGTAAAATAACCATGAACTGTCTCGCTAGCCGTGTTATAACAAACGATGGTCGGGTGAACCTGGAACGAAATTTTACTATCTTGAAATTCAGTCGAATGGAGGTAGGCAGAGACGTGAAAGCTGGAAACGTTAGGTTGGCTTTCTCAGTTAATGTTGAGCTCATGATTTAAACAAAGTAGCGTTGAAATCACTGACATAATTGCGGAGGCGTTTTTACAATTCTTTGCTTTCGTTTTTTTTTTTTTTTTTTACTTTCGTGACTAAAGGGTAATAAACGTGATGCAGAGCCTTTTTATTGAAAATGCACACTTAAAAGATGTCAAGAAAATGTGCTTTATATATTGTTCCGTCATCACATTACAACGGCAGTTGTGGCAAAATATTGATTATAATCAATCTCATTCGTTCAGCGGGGCCGCAGTTTCTAATTTTTATACGTTGAAACTTTTAATGCCTTATCTATATTCATAAATGTGTCAATAATTATAAATGCGTGCTTACAAAGCCCGTTATACTAACATTCGTGAAAATACAAAGCCGTTTTTACTTTGGGTTAGGGTTATTGAAGAAATAAAAACTAATTGCCACGAATACACTTCGAGAACGTCGTAGTACCTTCTTAAGACGCAACTATAAATTCTCCCACGTCTACACCCTGTCGAGTCGGAAGAGAACAAAAGTATCAGGTTGTAACCTGCTCTTTGGCAGCCCACTGTGATAGATGAACTTTCGCTGACAGGTTAATTGAATGCGTTCACATAAATGAAGTCAAACTCATCCCCTTAGGAAGCAGGTGTGCGACTAAAAAAAAGAAAACTACTTATCCCGGATTACGCAGATTTCTTCAGGCGCACACTAGTCGCCGCTAAAAGGCGACGATATTGCGTCCTTTTGGTATAATTGTGTTGGTTTATGTTTTTATAAAAGTTTTTTTTTTTTTGAGCTCACTTGTTGTCACTGAAAGCAGAAGAAACACGGGGGCGTTCACACTTTACGTTCGCAATTTTTACTTCGGAATGCGTTCGGTGTTTTTGTCGACTAATACCGCAATCTCGTTGCTGCGGAGCGATAACTGAATACTCGGGACTCGCCGCGCCCTCCATCTCGTAAGCTGTCGGGGATTATTCAGTTGTTGCAATTAAACGGTTTATTTTTATCGCTCACAATCCTCGCAAAGGTATGCCACAAAAAAAGAAGTGACATCTGTACTTCCTTTTGCTCGTTTCTTCAGTGCAGCCATAGTGACGCGGGAGAACTTTTTTTGTGTACGAGATGTTTTAGAGAGTTTACATTCCGCGAAGACCAGTTTCGACAAAGTCAGAAGTTTACTTAGCAAACATAGGGTTAACGTTTAGTTTCCTCGAACGAGCAGAAACCCGCAATAAAAAAATAAAAAAAGAGTCCCGGTCCTTTGGCGAGTCTTGCAAACGAATTGACGCCCACCAGCCAGGAGTGCCGTCAAGGGAGGGAGGGTTTTCTGTCAAGTACAGACGTAGGGCAGGCCCATATGCCTCTGCCAGTCAGAGTACAATGGCATCGCGCCGTTGCATTCGTTTTCGTTGCTTTTTTTCCCCAACCATACTACCGATGCTCAAAAAAGAATCGTCGAAAAAGTCCAAGGCTAGAGGTTTCACGCATGCGCAGAAGTCTACTTCCTAAGGGTCCATTGCGGCGACAGCCGAGAACTGCACACTCTGCGGCTCAAGAGCTGCCCACAATCCTACTGCGCATTTTCCACCTAAACTAGACCCTGTTTCTGCTAACTTTAGCAGATGAATATTTCTTCTGAACGTCACGCGACGTCGACTAACACCATCACATACCGTTTCACATCGAGGGTATACAGGAAACAAAAGAGGGGGTCTGCTGCGAAACCTCGCCCATAAGGGCTGCCGCCTCGAGAACAAAAGACGGGCCGTTTTGTGGTAGAGCCGCCTACTCAATACTTAGGGTTTAAAGTGAATTCTTACCTCGGGGCACTTGGGGCAGATGATGGACCGTTCTACTTTGTGGACCTCGCCGAGGGCGGTTTGCTCGCAGATGTGCGACTTGCACTGGTCGTCACGGGACTGCCATTCGTCTCCCGGCTGCGAAAGAAATATGTCGCGTTCGTACACTCCATCTGACTTCGCGAGTTTTTGCCAATCGGCCAATGCACGCTGATGACAAAGTAGTACGCGTAATTTCCTGTTTGGCGTACTGCCTGGCATCGTGCATGAATTAAGTTTGGTTTCCTGCTGCTGCAACTACGCATATATGGTCAGTTTTTGGGAAAATTCCGCATTATGCACATCTGCAAACATACACATATACACACGCTTTATTGGCTTTATCTAATTGTAGCGTTAGCGGCCGTCAGATTTAAAGTGAAACGGAATATAGTTTATCTACGCCAGGCAACACGTGGTTGCATTTGAGCTGTCAGTTTTTGCCACAGTCGAATACTGCTGGTGAACAGCAGCCCAACACCATCAATAATATGAAAAAAATATACAGGCGAGCTGGTGAGTTTTCAACATCTTGAACAGCCGGGACTTAGGAAAAGAAAGTGGAGAATGCACACACACGAGGGCTGTGTGTTTAGTTCTCGTTTCCAACTCTTGCGTGTTCAAGGTGTTGGAAGTTCACCAGCTTACCTGCGTGTTCGCTGTAATTTGTATTATTGGTGGTGATTTAACCGTCAATGATGTCGGCGGCCGATCGATCATACAGTCGTTATTCAATGTTCCAGCTGTATCAATAAATTGGTAATTCCAAAGCCGATACTTATTGCCCGCCAAAAATAAAAGCAGCGACATCGGCGATTCGTCAGCGAGCACTTCCAAAATCATTTGGCGTTCGAGAAGAGAATAAACACTCACCTCTCGGATGTTCCCGTACTCGTCCTTGCAAAAGAGTCGCACCAAAGCAGGGCAGCATCGGTTCGGCACGTCCACAATGCTCAGGAAGTAGTCCTGCAAAACACCCATGCTTCATTGTGCGCCGAATGTCCACGCACCCCTGTCTACCGCAAGCACCGGGGTCTATGCTCTTTGACTACATTACGCGATATGAACACCGAATACGTTTTATCGGTCGTTATTTATGAAAGCATATTTTCCTGAATGAGCGTCATGAACGATCGTCATTAGCGAGCATCATCGATCAAGCGTCATTGACGACCGTTAAGGCCTGTTCACACTCTTGCGACCGAGTACGACTGAGAGAGACCAGACCGGGTTTTAAGTCTCTTGCGATCTCTTAGGACCAGCTCCACTGCAGCGCATCCGGTCCTAAGAAGTCGAAAAAGGCCTAAAAACCGGTCTGGTCTCTCTCGGTCGTACTCAATCACATGTATGTGAACGGCGCTTTATATCGACGTTAAAGTTTAAGGCACATTCTCCGCTCCTGGTCTTTATCAGCATTATCAAGCTTGTGCATTTTTTTTTTTTTTTTTTTTTTTTGCGTGAACGCGTTACACATTGTTTTAGACGGGATGTCAAGTAGACGCAGTTGAATAGCTCTCGCATGTTAGAAGCGGACGTCACGCGTAATTTCATCAGCGCTTACGGTGCATAAACGCGCGGGCTCGATGCTCGATGACAATTGTTCAGAAACTTGTCGAGTAGTTTTTAATCTCTAGAGGTATAGTGAAATGCCTTAAACGCAGCTAGCCAAACAAAGAAACGTTGCTCTCGGGAAAGTCATAGGTATCTTTTCTCAACTTGCTTAAGCATCAGAGGCTGGTTACAACATAAGGTATTTATAGGGGTGTGCAGAAACTGCTTTAAATTAAATACCGCATTGTCGTTCCGTACGTTAACACTCAAAGAAAAAAAAAGGAAACCCGGGTTGCCGTGGCTCTTTTCAGAACTTCGAAAGCTAAGATTCTGTTCGTACCACTCATCGGACACGCTAGCGGTATTTATGAACAAGAGGTAGTGCGGAAATTTGTTTCATTTTACTCTGTCTGCGGACAAGATGTCGTCGCTTGTCGCACTTGTGTCACTGGGTCAAAACACGTGTTGGCGTTAAAGTGATACAGGTAACAGAGTTGCCGATACCGCGTCACCCTTCGTGGTAACGTACTCAAAACAATTGTTACAATTTCAGAACATTATTACATAACGTACTTACGTTACTTATTTTCAGTAAAGGGTAACGTAGCTGCCTTGCTCGTTACGTCTTCTTAAAAAATAAACAGTTTTCGGAAACCGTCTTTGCACATCTACCGGACGGCTCAACTTTGTACGATGAGCCGTCCGGTTCGAACTGCGCGTATGGGAGTCTTCTGCGATAGCGCATGCGCAGTTTCGTACCGGAGCGCCCACCGCACTGTATCGGAAGGGCGAATACGGTTCCCTAAAACTTTCTAATAATTACACCCAGATAGAACCGTGAAAAAGATAAAGAAATTATGTTAAGTTTCTTCTAATATGGCGGATATGCATATAACTAACTCCAAAACAGTAAAACGTTTTAAGTCAGGAATAAAATGTAACGCAAAAGTGACGTGCGTTATATTCGCTAACGGTAACCAACACTCTCTTCTTCTTTTTTTTTTTTCTTTCAAATGAGGTAGCTCCGTAACGCGTTCCTTTTATTTGCAAGTAAAGAGATTTCATTAATTTTTTTTGGTAACCCTAAAAGACTGCGATTTAAAATCAATGAAGATGGACCTTGTCGTCTGGTAGTTCGGCGCTCTCGTAGCACCTCTCCAAGTTGCAGCGTGCCATGAGGTCCGTCCCGCTTTCGTCGCAAGAGCAGTTGCTGCAGAGGCCGTCTCTCCACGTCTGCCCGGGCTGCGTGAGACAAAAAGTTAACAATTCCCATGGTCGTGTCATTGCCATTTAGCAATTTCTATGCGGCGTACCTCGTAGAAGGAGACATTTTGCAGAGCCGGTTCAATGGCGACTTCTTTACCGTCCACGACGACGAATTTGTGGGCGTAAGGACAGACCTTTTCCGGCGGTCCTGGAACGACGCGAGTGTCAGCAAGATGGAAGAAAGACATACAAGGGGGCGTCCTGGTACAATTCTTTTCAGTCGCTTCCAGACACTGTCACCGAAATAGCGCTGCGCATTTTATTTTATAAATAACGCGGTCATACAAAAATAGTCTAATGAGGAATTAGCGAGCAACGCAAAATTGAAAAATTTGACTTTTGCAGTATTAATTACCGCTTGTGCAGCGAGTATAGGTTAAGGCTGGGCGTCCATTAAAAATATTAACCCGCTTAATCGCCACCCTTTAATCGAGTAATCGATTTCGCTAATGCTGGTGCATACTAGTTCGAGCCAGTAAAAATATTTCTTGCCTTAGCTGATTATATGATAAACGACATAATGTACAATTTTGATTTTTAAATCAACCTTGGAGTGCAGCTGAGAAAAGTTAAAAGACACCCACACTCAAAAATCATTAAAACAGCCGCAGAAGCAAAGAGCTTCGTTGATATGTACGGCAATAGCGAACTCCTTCATAGTTTACAATAGCCTCTGCTGCGCTAAACGGACACTCGCACGGCGTTGAATTGGCTGGGAGACGTATAACATTATACTCCGTTTCACCTTATGTTGTACCGCAGCGAAGGCTAGACGCGCGAGATCAGGGCTTTGGCAGCTGCCCTTATTGCACGAGAGCTTGTGCCGCCGAGGTGTGCCCTAAAGCAAGGAGCTCGCGCTTGTAGCCTTTCCTGCGGTACATCAGAAGGTTGAACAGAGTATAGTAACATATTTGGAGTTACAAATTTGACCTCTAAGTTTATTTAGGCCAACATTTTACCTAAAGTTTACCTACATAGAAGTGTACTCGTCCACGTCTGTGTGGAGAAAGCGTTTAACGTTACCTATTTTTGTTAGCCAAGGTTTAACCGATTAACCGGTTTAAAAAAATATTCGCGATTAGAGTATTAATCGATTAATCGGTAGATTAATTGATTAAGTGCCCAACAATAGTACAGATATGATGCTGCTCTGGAAAGAAGCCCACTAAATAGAGTACGGGATAATTCGTCATTATAGGTGTGGACGGTGAGGCTGTGGAGCTCAGCAAGCTTGCATGCTGAGCTCGACATTTTTATGCGATATGCGAGTGTTGATGTGTTTTGCTGTAACCTAGCTGAACATTCTGGTGAGAAGGAATGGCAATGACGCAGCGTCAGAACTGGGATAATATCGAGGCATTGCCATTGCCAGTTTGAGTGTCGCGACTATTCTACAAAATGTTCCGGCGACATCTAGAAAGCGGAAGTTTCCTGTAGGTTTTACATACATGAATATAAAAAAGAGCTGACCAGAATTCATGACACACTCAAATTACTTGTTGATAGATTTACGTCAGTTGACCAACAGTCCCTGGGAGAGAAAACACAAATGGGTATACATTTTTAGGGCGATCTAGTACAGACGACTGTACCCAACATGCAGGTTATGCTAACGCAACGAATTTAGAGCATCAAACGTTGTGTAAACGGCAAAAGTACTGAACCAGAAACATGAAGTTGTCAATGATAGTGAGCACCGGGATAATTGCTCTGATGTGACCGTTGTTAGTATTAATCAGGGCTTGACCGGAAAGAGAATATGTATACTGACTGCATTTGAAAGAGCGGCAGCAAACTCCTGGAGTCTCTAGCAGCTCCAAGGGTGGCGCGCAGTGAGGCGGTTGTGGGCACTTCTCCGGGCGACACACGGCATGGAGGGTGGCGCAACATCCGACTGGGGTCATCTCCACCTCCTGACCGGGTTCCAGGTCCGTCGGCCAGACCACGGGCGGACAAAGAGCTGGATCGCATTCTGTACGGGTTAAGAAATACCGGTTCTCCTTCACTCCGTCTCATATCACTATAGAAAACATCTGTGAGTTCACTCTCGTGTTCGGAGTTTGGCAGCAAAGGGAATTTATATACGTATTTTAGAGTGTACATCCACGGAAAACTGCGAAATGACGCATGTCACACCATCTCCGAAGTAACAAAAGTTCTTATTTTCATTGGAATATTTGGGCACTTTATAAAACTTTGGTTCTCTCTAAAGATAAGTGTCAAATTACATTATAAGTTTAACTCCTTAAGCATAGTTGTCATTCCATGTATTTTATTTTCATCACCCTGAAAGTTGTATGCAATTCTTGCCTTTTGTTGTTACTTTAAAACTGACAGGTAGGCAGAGGTAGTTGCAGCGAAACAAGAGCATACCGCAGTAGTACATGGGGCAACCCTTGGAGTCAGTCTTGGTCCTTGTCACGTCTCCTCGCTCACATCTTGGCAGCGACAGTTCTGGGCACTCCTCCACGATGTCTTCTGCGGGAAGCGTACGGAAACAAAGATGTTGATGGGGCAGATGGCGAAGCTCTCACTTTAACGAGTGCATTATGAAGAGAACGCCACTACAGAATGGTGGTGTCTGCCTCTTTTTGGTGTTAAAGTGTTCCTACGCCATGCTCAGTAAGGGTGGCCATCGTTATGAAAGACGCGGAAGTCACGTTAAATTTCATTACGAGATATACAATCCTATGTAAAAACAATGAACCTTCGGTTCACGTCAGAGTGACGTATATCATCGTTTGTTTATTTTATGTCTTGCTACTTTTTATGCACTTATTTGATTAACGCAAAATTATAATCAAAACATTTAAATATGGCTAATATTATTAATAAGAAGGTATTACGTGACATACACCGAGCTCAAAATCTAATGGGAATTTATGCTGGTGATCCTCCGTACTGTGCTTGTTTATGCACGGAGGTTAAGATCGATTGGTTGCACCGGCCTGCGTAGTCGAGTACAAGAGGAATTAGCAGATTTTATTTGGGTTTTTCACACAAGCTGTCATTTGCTGTCATTTGTGCAAGCCGGTGCTTGAGCAGGCACTCGTCATCTTAAGAAAAGGAAGAGGGAGAGGCATTCGTTCTTCTTCGTTAGTCAACATCAACGGCTGCTGTCGTGGAGTTATTATTTGCACTGAGCGTGTATATCGGCTTGTTATGCATTTCTGTTGCATTCTCCTCTAAACGCTTGGCTACATAATCAGCTTTGACATCGATTGATTGGAATCTGCTATGCCAGATCATATGTAAGGGGTGTCGAATTGCGACACAACAGATTACTAACGTACAGCAGAACCCATGATGGGCCGGGACCATCATTAAACTAAATTAAAGTAGATGCTATGTCTAAAATAAGGGGTTCCTTTTGTTTAATGGTTCTCCCAGTTATCACGTTCTTGCTTACTATACATTTTCTAGTATAACTGCTTTCGGTTTTGGGGATTTCCAGGGTAATATAGATAAGTACTATATGTGGTACTGGCGAAGTCACCACAAGTCGAGCGCCCTCTTTTTCTCTTTGTGTCCTTATAGTACCACTTTTTCACGTGCATGAGAAGCATCATAGAATATAGTAATTCAATTACTTCTAAAACTATTTGTACCTACTCGAGATAACTTATAGGAGTGTAGCCTGAGCCCTTCTCGAAATACAATGCAGGGTGGGTATATATTATCTCACTGTAAAGTCGTTCTGTCACATGTGTTGTTGTGGAACACACAATTTTCTAATCAACACATATATGCCTCTTTGCACGTGTTAGTTGTCGCCACTTGCAAAACACAATGCACGATAGAAAAAGAACCCTTAAAAACCACCAGCAAGAAACGACGCCTGGAATATACTACACAGAAAATGCAGGATGCAGCAAAATATATTTGTCTTCCGTCATCGCCTATTACTTATATTCACACAAGGAACGCCTCTTGCCATTATTGCCAAGATTGTAATGTGCACGGTTCCTTACACATTCATTCCAATGCTAAAAGAGCTCCGGAGCGGCACTTATAATAATTCAGCGGGCGGAACATATTGTCTTCTCTTTATGAACCCTATCCCCGACATCAAGCGAGGCGGGTGACGCTTCCAAGCAACGAATCATTTTGTGAGGGATAATGGCAGGCTATCAGAAGCGTTTATCAAAAACTACGATTTGGAAATCTTCCCGGGAAACGCTCAGAGCAATTTTCAACACCGCGAGGGACACAGGCGCCTTGTCCTGTTCCTTACAGTTTCCTCGAAGGGTTCTTCTTTTGAGTCCCCTTTCGAGGGAAATAAGTTTGTCCTTTTTTTCTTATTTCGGATGCTTTTAGAGCTTCGTTGGTGCAAGAAGTCGTAAAATTGGGCCGAGCAAACAGTTTTCTTTTCAATTATGTTTTTACTGTCTACAAACACTCTTCTTCCGTCATAATCGGTTTGAAAGAAAACGGTCCCTTGGTGTTGAAGCACGACCAAAGCAACATTAGAGTGCTACATTTTTTTCGGTAGTCGAAGAATCCTTTCAAGATTCGCCGAACCGTTTTTCCCCCTCTCACTGACTCTCTCGAAGATGTGAATTGAATGCCAAAGACTTCTTTTCGAAGAAGCCGTCTTCACCGCCCCACCTCGCTTTCTGAAAGAAGTGGTCTTTGATTAATTTCGGGTATAGCGCGGTTCTAGTGTGCTAAGGGCAGCCTTCTGTGATGATGTATGTTTCTCTGCCCTCAGAGTAAATACGAAGATCTATAATTAGTGCTTTTTTTCTTGGGATAGCTTACGCACGTCAAATATATGGTAGATACTTAGGTTACGCAAACTTTTATGAACTCCCAAGATCGGCAGTTTTGTTGGCTGTGTTATTGTAGCTGATGAGCCGTCGAAACTCCATCAATCAAACTTTACGCTCATACTAGAATTCTGTTAACAGACCGGCTGCGCCTGATGCAATTAACAGCGTTTGTGTAAAACCCAAGTTCTGTAAACTCCCACTCTTGGAAGTGACTTGAAATACGGTTTAAGCGTGAAATTTACATAATCATAGTCAAGCGAAGCTTTTAACAAAACAAAAAAGGAGCGCATAGAGATTAACGTTCGTCGCCAAATACCTCTTGCAGCACTGACGCTTCACAAATGGCGGCTGGAACAACTGCCGCAGCAAGATATTACTTTATTATAGCTGAACTTGTGACTTAATACGTTTCCTCCAGGGGAGTAAAATGGCGGTTAAGGCAATATCGGTTTCATAGCTGTCAGGAAGGCTGCATCATCTGCCCGCAGTCCTTCAGCGTACCTAAAGACTGCATTTAGCTTGCGGTGTATACGAATACTGTCCATCATTTGTTTTTCAACTACCTACGTTTGCTCCCCTCATTGAACTGTACTTTTCTCAAAGACGTTTTCTCGTATCAATATGACCAGCGGCTGAGAGGTACGGTCAATAATGTTCAGTGGGTTGCACTGCTTGATTCAATAGCCACCGCTAGATGTTTTATAAACGTGATAGTTGTCTACACTGTAGATTGATATGGAATGAATGTCGTAAGTACATGGAACGATTCCTCTAATTAGAGACAGTATCGTCGTCCCGCGGCAGAAAAAAAAAAAAAAACGTAACGGAGATTGCAGTGCTCAAGGCCAGCGCCGCGAAATCGCAAGAATAATCGCGCCACGTGTATCGGGCTTTCGTGGTCGACTTACGGCAGTAGTTTTTGTCGCAGCACTGTTCCAGTTCGGCCCCCGAGACTCGAACCAGCTTCTGGTTCTCCCTGCAGATCGGGTCCGGAGGACAGACCTCGTGCTGGCAGTCCATCTTGCCGTCCTTCTTGCACGTGCAGCTCGTGCACTGGTCAGTCTTCCAAACGTCGCCCAACTGCGATCGTCATCGTGCGCACACAACTGCCATTTGCATTCCAGGGTTGAATAAACTCAAGCGACGAGCGGCATGTGTCCTTTCAAAGACATCTCGACTCTAAAAACTTCTGAACACAGCCCCGTTTTCTTAGGTTACGTGACGAAAGCTTATGTACAAGTCACCAAATCATCTGTGCTTCATGTTAAGCGTGGCTGCCAGTTCATAAAGATAGCCGAACACGCGGCACTCGGGACACGATTGTTTCGGTGACATACACGTGGCGTAAGAAAAGACGGGGCAAACAAACAAACAAACACAAAATGCGTTTTACATGTCGTTATATATATATATATATATATATATATATATATATATATATATATATATATTGTGAGAAATATTTTTGATGGATTGTCAGAAACAAAAGTCAGAAACGAGCGTTACACCGACGTCGTGAGTTGACGACAGTGGCCCCTACACCGATCCAGCTTCCCCGCTAAATTTAGCGGGGAAAGCGCTGTAGAAGGGTAGGGGAAGGAGAGGAGGCAGTGGTGGGGGAGGGAGGGGAATGAAGAAGGGCACAATAAAAGAGTGAAGGGACGGAATGGGGAGGCAGAGGAAGAGGGAATGGAGGAAAGAAGGATGGGGAGAAGGGATTAAAATATAGAAAATACAAAAATAAGAAAATATTAAGTGTGTGTGCTTCGTCAGGGACACATTCTGTGCTCCCTGGTCTTTTTCAGCATAATGTAGCTTGCGTAATTTTTTTTTTTCGAAAAATATTTTTTTATTTATCGGAAAGTTTAGTGCTCCAATAGATTACGGGACCCACATACGGAGATCTATCCAATTATTTAGTTTGTATCTAAGTAAAAACTTAAAGAAAAACGCATTTATTCTGCTCACTGACCCTTCAACTATGACAGTGCTTCATTTATAGATCGAGCTTTCCAACCTAGAAGATACTTAAAATTAATTACACAATTATTTCAACTGAGCTTTCATTTTTCAGCAAGTCATCGCTTTTAATATTCCTGAGTCAAATATAGACATTGTCGCTGCCACTAATACCTTAATTGATAAAGCAGATCGCGCAAATGTAAAACCACCACCACCTCCCGGACTTACAACAAAGCCTACCGCTCACCCATTTTCTTTTTAAGCAGGTTTTGAATAGCATCTTTATTCGGCGCTTACAAATAGCATTCAGCAGAATATTTGGGCCTATTATAATGATACTTGTGCGGCCGTCGGACGAAACGTTTGAAAACTTCTATTTACCCGGGGACAACATTTCTCGGCAATGAAGCCAAAACCATGGGTACCCGTAAGCTCGTTCACATCGAGCGCCCATCCACGCTGTGATTACTTCAGTTCGTCGGAAATGCCAGAAAAAGTTGAACCTGAGTATACCTACGTAGTATATCAAATCGAAAACTTCTTGGCCTTTTTTGCATCGCCAGTTTTACTTATTGACAGGACATATCCATGCTGCTCAAGTAACCGGCTAAGTGTTGTGCTAGGACGTTACACTCACTTTATGGCCTTGGTCGTCACAGAGATCTGCAATAAAAGAAAACAATTGAGGTATCAGCGAGGAAACTGTTTCACCAGACGTACACTGACAGAATGGTACAAAACAGGAAGCAACTGTAATTTTTCTGAACTACAATTTGTTGTTTCTTAAGTGAACTAGAAGGCACACGGGACAAATAAGAGTAGTTTACAATTTTATCGGAGAAGAGCCGTTTGAATCTTTGTTTTAAAACCGGCTTCTTCTTGCTCGGTTCTACATCAGCAGGGGCTTGTTTACGGCGATAAATCCTGGAGAATGTTTCCAAATCGCATTCGGAAACCGGGATTTCGTCGTATATAGATTCGTTTCAGTACCATAAAAACCTACCCGCTTTTTTTTTCTATTTTGTTGGATTTTCTAAATCGTAAGTTTTCTTTTCCTGCCAACATTATACTTTCCGTGTCAGCCGCTTCGTTGTATAAGCTTGTCAAACTATTCTAAAGGAAGTGATTTGTAATGCTCTCAGAAAATAAAAACCTCAATCAAAACATTTTAGGTTCTTTTTTGTGTATGATGTGAAATAAATTAAGCGTTTCTTCATTCGGATATATCTCCGTGTCTTGATTTATATGTGAATGAGTCTGACATTTTTTTTTAATCTATGATGAGAAGTTTAATTTTCTTCGCATCCTGCAGGTGTACGATTCCGATAAAGGCTATTCTCGTTAAAACGCGTGCAATGCGCAACACCATGTGAGCCAAGAGTTCAGGTGTACCTACCAGAATTTCCGAGTTACAAATTGCCGGAAGAGCCTTTTACCCAGAAAGTATAAGTTATTAGATCTATGCAAGCAAGTTGTTAGTTTTGAACCTTAGAATGCAATATTATGTTATCCTGCCGCCGCAATCCTTAAGGATTTCAATGGATCAAAGTTCAACTAAGAAGAAACGAGATTATTCACGGACCGTCAACAATTAAAAAAAAAAAAGCGAGAATATTGCCAAATTCGTTTCGCTCGACTACATTTGATAAACTTTTTTCAAAATTCAATAATTATTCAATAATTCGAAGAAGCAGTGCTTTAGTTTATCATTGACAGGCAACACAATACCTTTCTTCTCTTGTGTATAACACGGCAGCCTATTCGCATTCCTAATGAAGTGGTCGAAACTCACCAGGCTCTACTTCTCGAGAGTTCCCTGTGCACTGCACTCTCAGAAAAAAAGGGTGTTTCTTACAGCCTTTGTCTCCTATAATACACCCCAAAACTTCAGTTCGATGTGTAGTGCACTGCCATCGATCTGCGGCACTAACTTTCACGAGAGTCTTGATAGCCGTGTGGTACTACTGATTAAAATAGTTAATGTACATGTTATTGATTGCAAAAATAATAATAATAATAATAATTTGGGTTTTCTTGGCCCCACTGCAAAACATCAGTGTTTTCTTTCTGCAGTCTTTGGTACGTATTTTAACTATTTAGTAAATTATATCGCACCATTATCAATACCCTCGTAAAATATGGGGTCGTCTGTTCGACTATAGCGCGCTGTACGTCCAAGGTGACACCCTTTTTTTAGACTGTAGGTGATCAATATAAGAACCGGTCGCTCGCACAAACAGCTTTTATATCCTCTTTATCAACTACCAGGCCGCACAGCACAGTTTACTTACATTGCGTTATGTTACTGACGTCTGCTTACATCGACAGTCACTGGGACACTCATGCTTCATATCAACCGTGGCAACCGATTCAAGGAGAAGCTTTGCAGGTGATATTCGAGGCACGCATGTTAAGGTGACTTTTAACGTAACGTAAAAAAAATGTAAGCAAGTGCAATTGTGTGAATAGGCCTAAAGTGTCACTTCATTTGATATTCAAATGTATGGCTTTGAAAAGGTTTCGCCCGTACCGCAAACGTCCTTGGGCTTGCAGTCCCCATCCTCAAAGACCTGTCCGTCTGGGCAGAAGCATCCGTCCACCTTGAGATTGCGGCAGTCGGACTTGTGGTAGTGGGTCTTGGAGGATCCCTTGACGAACTTGCTGGAGGCTTCGTTCTCGCGCTCGGTGTCGCACGACTGGGGGCACGCGTCGTGGCAGCTCATGTAGCGGGTGTCTCCAGGACACGTGATGTCTGGTTGTCAGGAAACGAAACGAGGACATGGTAAATAGCACTTCGCTCGAACGTCAAACGACGAGGATCGTTATACAAACTATAACGACCTTCGTCATTCGAAGTATGAAAAATGGAAGTGTCACAACGAGTGTTCTTTTCTATTTCTTTTTGTACGTCTTTGTTGGAGGGATTGAGTTTCTTATACCATCTAAAGATTGTATAGCATTTCTCTTTTTTTCTAAGTTGTCTCGCTCGTATCTTCCACTTATGCTTTGGACCTAACAAAGCGCAGCATTCTAATATAAAGCAATTAATCTAGCCCCTTAAGGCGTTCATAGAGAAGAGGAACTCTGACATAAAAATATACGTTTTTCGTGAAAATGTTAATTGATTGCTCAACTTATTTTTTGCTATACACTCAATTATTTTCAGAGGAAAAAAGAACGGAGTCAAACCCAAGCGAGCGAACCAGTAAGAAGAAGGATAGCGTGAAACAACTCAGATACCTCGTTTGTTGTTTGAACGAATTTTCAGCGTAGTTGTGGTCAGAACAATTATTTTTGTGAATTACGATATTTTTAATAAAAGTACCGCTTGTAGAGTCCAGTTTTTTGTTAAATACTCGGAGTTATCAGACGTTGTCGCGCGCGACTGAGTAAAAGAAGAGGTGATAACAGCTATCAGGAGTCAGCTCTTAACTGATAGTTTTCATGCAAAAAAAACAACAACAAAACACTCAACTGTAACCTAACAAATATTTGCATATCTCATCGATAAACTTTAGGTAGATGTTTTTGTAAAATCTAATTATAAACTATATTTTTAGAAATCGTTTCAAAACAACAGGACGCTGCTAAATACTATGTCATCTTTTTGTTTTTTTAGGGTTACTGGTTAAATGGATTTGGGCAGTAATTCCATTTATTTCCCGCTGATACCGATAATATGGGGACTAGCTACACGTACTTATTCGCCTTCAACTTCCATCGACTGCAAATAAATTTATGCGAAAACAATTATGAACTCAGAATTGACAAGTTCAAATGCCAGTTAATATTAAATTATTATTCGTCGAGAACTTGACGCTTCACTGCACTCATTAACCACTTAAACGTATGAGAGTTATAAAATAAGCAAGTCTATTAACTGTAGATTTTTTTTGTGTGCGCTTTGATTATAATTCACACGAATGCAAGCTGCAGTGTAGCTCTTCAATTAAGTAACCGATTATCTGAGGTCTTGCATATTCTAAAGGACAATTTTATTGGTCTTTAATAAAAAGAACGAATCACGGTCAGATCTCGCCTATTCGAGAAAAACAGAAATATGCAGCCGCTTATGGGTTTTCAAGCTAATCGATTAACATGTTTTTTCCAGCAGAGAAGAGATCGGGCGCAACCAGCTGCTACCTTCTCTTAATATAACATATTTTACAGGAATGTAATAAAGTACTCCGGTACAGGGCCCAACCTTCGAATTTCCCCTTTGAATTAAACACACACAGACACAAACACTCTTAGTTTGAGGTACACAGCCTCAGGTAGTTGGCGCAATCTAGATTAATAACGCTAACTATAGATTAAGACTACCTTTAAAAAAAACGACACTAGGAACTAACAGTGTGAATGAAGGTAACCTGTAAACAAAAGCATCGCAAGGAGTGACGCTATAGACCCACACGCGGCCCTGACGTCACGCAGCTGCGGTGGCGCTGTCGACAGCACTGCGCATGCGCAGACGATTCGCTTCACACGAATTCGGTTTGTGCGCACGCGCAGTGCCCACACCTGGTGTGGGGAAACGCGGGCTTGTTTGTAAACAGCGTGTCGGTCTATAGGAACTAACAGTGTGAATGAAGGTAACCTGTAAACAAAAGCATCGCAAGGAGTCGCCGTGTACTTACTACAGAATTTCTGGATCCAGCTATTGTCCACTTCCACATCGGCCAGACAACAGGCGCGGGCCATTTCGAGCAGCGAGCTGCAGACGGCCGTGTTTTCTTGCACCGAGAAGGACGTGTCGTGGCGGCACTGGTCCACGAACTTTGTGGTGTCCACCAGGGAGAGGCACTGTCCGAACACCTCTCGGTCCAGAATCTCGGAGCAAGCGCCAGGCACCGGAGGCTTCTCGGGTTCCTGGACAATTATTGGCCGAGTGTCACCAAACGAACATGCCGCGAAGAATTCCCACTGGTGTAAGAAATACATTTTGTTAACCTTTCTTAGGGCCAGCTTTGGAAGAACGCGCTACGAAGTTGACGTTATGGTAACACGTTACTTTTTTTCAGTGACGCACTAACGTACTCATTAGGTTTCTAAATGACTAACGGGTAATGCATTCTGGTTACATCCTTACGTTATAGTCTATCAAATTACGTCACTTGGTATTCGTTGCTTTTGAATATTGCTTTTGTCTCAGCTTAGAAAAAAATATATTAAGCTTCATTTTGTCAACTTCGACGAAAGTGGAAATAATATTTTCTTCGCAGCGGCATCATTTGTATAATCAGAAAAGGAAATATATTCGACAATCTCGACGGAAAAAAAGAGTTAATAAACGCTATCAAATCACGTTGTAAAAGTTTAATTGTTTTCAAATGTCATATCCGCGGTTTAATGCCGCAGAATGATATCTAAACCTAAAGTAGCACAGAAGTAATCTTCGTTCGTTGTTGGAAGTACAACATAGGTATTTTGTTCCATTTACAGCATGGTATAGTCGGTTGCAAGCTAAGAACAATCTTTTAGCTCCACCCACAAGCGCATTGCGCCCATCTGAAGTGCCTCCACCGTCGAGAAAGTAGTTCGCTAGCAACGTTGCTTTTTCTTCCTCCAGGAAACGTGTCTTAAACTACTACAATATTTATTTAATTCATTCAGGACATTTAAATAAGTTAGAATACGTTTTTGTCAACGAAATAGCTGTTTAGTAAAGAAAGAAAGTCATGTAAAATGTACCGTCTTCCCAATTCATTTTCTGTCCAACATACTGTCTAACATACCGTCTTCCAGCTCTCAGCAGTGCTAAGCCTTGCGCCCGCTTCGAAATTTTCGTTGGCGATAGCGTCGCTGGATTCTCACGTTGTCGCGCAAAAACTGCTGCAAACGCAAGCCGATACCATTAAGATTTCGTGGCGTAACCTCGGGCACGTAAAACACGGTGCAAAAAAGCAGAATAATTGTCACGAGAAACTAGCGTCGCGTTGCTAAGGCCAGCAGCCATGTTGATCTCTTTTTTTTTTTCAAAAGGATCGCGATTGGTCCACGGAATCGTGACGTCATGAAAACGATTGGCTGGCGTTTCTCGGCGTAGGATTATATTTTCCTCTGAGAGGCATTTCCGGTTTTTTCTTAGCTTGCAACCGACTATAGTAACTCTTAGCCCGTGATACTTTTTGACAATTTCGTTAATTATTTTCGTTAAGGGGCACAACACCGCTTAAGATATCATATAGCGAACCGCTGACAAGTGTTGTTGGCGTACCGTTCAGCGCACAGAAGTAATTTATAAAACTTGTTAAATGCTAACATTTTACTCGGTGACCTGTGTGCGTTTTTGGTACTCACTTCTCCGGTGAAGTTCCTGACGCACTCCTCCTCGCTGATATGCGTCTCCCAGCTGCAGACAAAGGTGACCATCTCCTCTGTGATGGTGCCATTCTTTGTCGTTTTGTCGTCGTCAGGCTTTCCGTTGCAGTTGCCTGAGAAAGAGACGCAGGAACAATTTTTTGATCGCAAGCAGAATCAATCGTAGCGTCCTCTGCGAACTTTATATAAAAAAGTTTCTGACGCCTTCTTCTAGTCAGAACAGACAAAAATCCAGACACATTTTCAATAAAAAAAATCAAATATACGTGTCCAAAACAGCGTCTTCTGCTTGTTTGTATGTCTACCCTGGGCAGCAGCTTGCGTTCCTAGCATGTTTAAAGGCTTCAAGACGTCATATCTCGACCGTGTGTCTTCGGGGAACATTTTTCTGGCTTAATAGGCAGTTAGGAGGTATATGGGAGAGACATGGCCCAAATGCTTCAAGTAAGCTGCGGTGACGGGCAGACATTTCTGAGGGCGGGTAACGAGGCAAGAATACAAAGCGGTACGCTACCACAGAGTCCAGCAGTCTTGTTAAAGAACGTCTTGGACGGAACGTGGATTGAGAAGGCAGCGCTGATTTCGTTGTATCGGATCTGGACCCCTAGTCCTGTGAAGACAACCACGGTGACCTTGCCCGGCATGGCGAAGATTGTAACTCCCATGCCAGTCCAAGGAAGCTGATCCCTGTCGTACTCTTCGTTGTCGATGAGGACCTGCGGCGGTGACATGGCAATCGTATACGATGCGTATTTACCTCTAATTCACGGCGCTGTCTCAAATAGCCTTTTGAAAGTGCCCGCCTAAACGCGAAACTTCGCGCAGAGTTGCTATTTGTTCTATTTTTGGTGTTGCTATTTTATTATGTTGCTATTTCTTATATTTCTGGCGAACTATTTGCGTTATATTTTCACGGCGTTTCACTTCTCTGGGGGTATTTATAGTTCTGAATTTAGTCGCTCCGCGCACGCGATACGCCCAAGATGGTTGCTTCGTATGTCGGCTGCACTGGTGGCAGTGGCAATGGACCGATCTCACCAAGCGTTCGGCGCATGCGTGAAGCCGCCGCAACTTTAGTTCACAGGAGCCAGGCGGCATTGCCCGAGACGGCTCGTGCTTTCTCCTGCTCTGCATGCGAAGAGCTCTAACGAGGTTGTTGCACGTGCAGAATGACTAATGTTCCCTCAATGCATTGCGGCAGCGGTGGCGTAGCCATGGCTGGTGAGAACGGTCAATTGGAGCGCCGGCTTTTTCAACTCAAACTTCTAACGCTTCCGAAAAAAAAAAAAAAAATTCAAAGGATAAGAGCCACTACCCGATGAAGGAGCTCTATAAAGTTCCTTCTGTTCGGAATCTGAAATCGCGGTAATGTCGCGGAAGCGGACGCGCCAAAATGAAACTCAATGGAAGAAAGGAGACACATTTTTGCTTCCGTTATTTCCATTATATGCTTCTAAACCTGAACAAAAAGCAAGCACTCCACGTGCTCTTCTAGATAACCAAGAATAAAATCTGCACATTGGTCATTTTTGCTCTACTATTTCTTTGGAAACAGAACCCGACCACTGGAAAACTTGTTTTGGGAATAAAGCTTGACCGTCCGAGGGTTTTAATGGGCTTCTAAAAAAGTTTAACCCGCCAAATTTAGCGTTGCCGCACCCGAAAAGGTAACAGGGTTTCTACAAGTCGACATTTGTAGCGGCCAGCCATGAAGGTTCCACACTTTGGATCACTGCATGCTCATACTTATGCGTGCACGCACCCCACCCAAAATGGCGAAGGCACATCTGCTGGTGTTGCATTCACGCATAGGAAACTTAAAAAAAACAAAAAACATGAACGTAGGCATTTATGCTCCCACCAGACTTGCAGTTGTGTCAGTAGGAACTGGATCAAATCATAACAAACGGTTTAAATACATATCACAGCCGCCTCATTTTACTTCTTGCTGTTGAAAAACAAAAAAATCACGGTTTTAAAGCCTGTTGGATTGTTTTAGCACTCGCAGCTTGAAAACAGATCACGGGTACGGTAAAACCCATATCGTTGTTTATTAAGCGATTAGATTTGTTGCCGTTTATGCCCAGGGACGCTTTGGTTTCATTGGCCCTCCAGTGAAACATGTCTCGAAGATTACGATTGGTAAACCTCTGTACATCGTCAACGCCTACCTTTATACTCAAGATTAATGTTATAAGAAGTATTATAATTGTTCTTTCACTCAAGCACGAAAATCACTACGAAAATGTTCATGTGGCGAAAGCGCTCTTAGAAACGAGGTGGTAATATTAAAAAGAAACAAAAAGCGCCCCGGCGTACATTTTGAATAAATACTTTTTCGCGTCAGTTTCTTCAGATCGAATACTGATAACCAATAAATTCAATCTACGTAGTCACTACATTCAGTGACGCGATCCAAAATGTCGTTTGACTCAAACACGTAGCCAGCGGCGGAGCAATGAGCGTACAAGATGTCACGCTTCTTTTCTCTGCTTTGTTCGCGCTACGTTGCCAAACTGCCCTTTTGACCTCATCGCACGTTTGGCATAGGCTCGTAGATGTTTGTGACCTGCACCCAAGTTACCTCCCAAATAAGTAGGCAACGGGACAATGTGTGAAAGGACATGCGGTCTTGACAAAAGACTTTAGCCTTAAATTTAGGGTAGGATACTTGCGACGCGTCTCCCACTGGTGCGTTCACAGCGTCTTAAAAATGGGTCTCTCGATTTCTCCCTGATGACGTTCTGTCACCTTGTGGCAAGCCGCGATTCTAGAGGTGTCACAGCGTCGGTGGTAGATGTGACAGATCCCTGCTTTGCTGCAGGTCGCCCTTTGGCCTTACAGTCTATGAACACTTCGACATCCAGGATTTGGGACTATATGCAACGACAGCGACACTCGAGTTCGTTTGTACTTCTTTTTCCGGGGCCTCAAGCACCACCCACCCGGATCGCGACATCTGACAGATTAACACTCGTTTTTGTGACGGACTTTGTTGCCACTTCTGGAGCACTTTTGTTGCAGGGTCGGAATAAGACGCTGAACACAACAGTGGCAGACGCGCGATTCAAGCACCTTGCCTAAAGAGGAAGCTGCGGGGAACCTACCTGCTTGTGTCTCCTAATCTTCGCGACGTGGTTCTCGTGCTTAATGTCCAGCCCGATGATGCAGGTGGCGCGTTCCTCGCAGCTGTCCGTAACGGCATCGACCATGAAGCGGCCTTCCCTGTCGAAGACGAGCTCGAAGTGGCCGTTGCTCTGCACGTGGAACTTCCAGCCGTCGAAGGTCTCGATCATAGGGTCACCGTAGCCCGTGCACACCTCTGAGGAAAACAAAATAACGTTCCCTAAGTGAGACTTTGCGAACGTGAAATATCGTAGGATGGTTCAGTTTAGCGCGTTCAAATCTTACATCAACAAACAAAATAGTTGTTATGCTAGGCTCGTTGCCCTCAATATTAAAAGCTGATGCCTGAGCAAATGTGTCGCTTAGTTGGAGGAAACATTGATTATGAAGCACTACCTTGGCGATTTCCTCAAATAAACACATCTACGTTTTCAAGAGCAGTCATTTTTATTTGTTAAAAAAAATAAGCCCAGCGTCAAAAAAGAAGTTATCTCTACGTTTTAGCTGTTGATATATTCAAGCATTCGCATTGACATGGAACATTTCTTTAGAAGGTAGCTTTAGAACATAACGTTATATGTAGCATATACATTACAAAAGCGCAAATCCGGAACATTACATATTTCGGAAATGCGTTCACCGTATCTTCGTATTGTGTGTGTATCGAGGTGAATAACCCAGTTGTGCGCTCTTTGATTGCGGCCCTGATTCATATAATGAGGGCCACAATCAAATAAAGCACTATGTTTAAAAATATTTATCAGGCAGAAATAATTACTCTTGATATGCAATTCTAATACTGCTAAAATCCTTAATGTTCGCAAGCGCTTAATCTTCACAAACTTCGCGAATTGACAAATTCGCGAAAATGAAGGGCACGCGAAACTTTCGGTCCTGAAGGGTTTCAATTCAGGCGTCTGAAATTGACGAACTCTAATGGCCGGGAATATGTCATGTGTGACTGATTGGCGAAATACAGAGGCCGCGAAAATAAAGGGTTTTACAGTATTTGCAGTTTCCACTGAAACAAATTATATTGGCCTCTGTTAATTTTATATATGCTCAAGATACCGAGAGTTTAGGTGTAGCGCATTGGTGCATTGGCAGCAGGATGGCCAGATACCGGTGTCAGGTTCATGAATGGGGTATAAAAATATAGTGCGAGTTGTTTTACAAAACGTGTAAAAAAGAATTGGCAATCCAAGTCAAATGTTACTTAAACCAAATTGCGACTACTACCGGGAAGTATGTAGGCATTTTACAGCATAATAAAAATGTTTCGATAGCAGCTAAACGAATTTCTCTACACGGCAGCATTTGACTCACTGTCGGCACACTCGTCAGCCTTCTTGCAATGGTCTCGGTCCAGGACAGTGCCCGGTGGGCAGAAGCATCCGGGGTTGCACGATTTCTTGGTAGCGCAACCCAGGTCCCCCGCGAGGAAGTTCTCGCACGTGATCTGGCAGTCCGGGCCGCAGTCTAGCCACTCCATCTCGGGTGGACAATCCGGCACTGCGCGTCAAGAGGACCACCCTTTAAACTCGCTGTGTATGGGTGAAACTGTTAAGCTTCAACCAAAACTACACCTCTATAACGTCACCTGAAACGGCTACTCGGTAAAATACGTTAAGACCCCGAAAATATTGGTTCTTAACAAAGGCAAATCAAACACAGGCATGTAAGACTCGTAACCGAAAGGTGATGTTCACTTCTGTGCTGCTTAAATGCTTACTTTTTAGACAAGACGCCCTACAAACAAGTATCACGGTTGCGCCTGCCAAAATACAATCGAATAGATTACACCAGCTCATCCTACGAAGATATTCAATATCATAAGAGCCATTTATTATCTGCACTTCTTATCCTGAAGTTCTTAAGTACAATAACGCCACTTCTCACTGCAGTGTGTACACACGTCGCGTTGGTTTCTCGCGCTTTTATGCTTACAAAGTCTCAGCAACATCAGGCGACCTTCCCGAGCCGATATCTTTTGTGCAGCGTCGAAGTTTCAGTCCATAGTGACCCATCATAAAGGTGTATTCCATCGAGAAACGTTGAATGAAGATAAAAGAGAAGCTCACCGCAGCCGTACTCCAGCCTCCAGCCTCGCAGACTCTCGACCGCTTTTTCGCCCCCGTCCTTCTCGCACTGAGTCACCGCGTCCAGGTAAGCGTCGCAGGCGCACGACTCCGCGGTGGTGTTGCCTCTCTGCAGGCACTCGCAGCTGGCGCTCAGGCAGTTCTCCAGCTGATCTTCGATGCCTTGGCACTGACTCAGAGGCTCCTCCCTACGGTGTGGATTGAGACGGTCAAGAGATGGAGGGGCAGACAAGTTCACGGCGCGTTAATTGTTCCGGTAAAATAAAAACAAAAAATGACTTTTTTTTTGTCTCGTGTTGGCAAACGTTTAACGCGCAATTTCCAAAGTTAATGCATGTATATACACCAACACACGGCCCAGACGTCAAGCCCCTGCGCTGGCGCAGCTGTCGTCAAGGCGCATGCGCAGGTTTTGGCAAGTACGCTGACTTATTTGTAAGAAAAGCGTATTGGTCAATACTCTCTCGCGTTGCGCCATGAGAAGTCACAGAGAGGCACCATCCTTATTTGCACTGAACCTGCACTGTCACTAAACCATGGTGTCGAACGTCCTTCTAGATTTCAAAGCTCATAAAAGAAATGTGTGCAGTTTTGGCTGCAATGTGGCGCATAATTCAGTCGGAAAGGTTTCAAAGTCTGTACCTTTAAGCCGGGGTCGAACTGCTCGTACATCATACAAAAGACAGTACGCAAACACGGGTCACCGCATTAACTGAGGTTCGAATGCCGCGTGCCCAAGTCTTTTTCCTTGAACTCTTTGCCATGCGGCATTCGAAGCATGGATCTCGTGGTTACTCGCGTTCGAATCTCTATGCAGAGTTTCTTCTCTCTGACGTATGAGCAGTGTGACTCCGGCTTTAGTGTGTTGGACGCGGAATGAATAGCAGTATATATAGTTTTGTTTTTTTCGGAACAAAATCTACTTGCATTTATTTCAAAGTACCCGCGTGTGCACTGCTCCAAAAAGCATTCAAGCCGCTAATATGCGTACACTCCAGTCGGTAACAAGTGAAGAAACGCAGGGTGTGGCCTGTTATGTTTACGCTTCTTGCCACGTGGTGTCCTTATCGACCAATGGCGAAATCTGATTTACTGAGGGGCGGCAATGAGATTCCCCGGATGCAGCACGCCCCGCGTGTCTTAAGCAGTCTGTGACTGACAAGCGAGTCTTGACAAAGCCCGTACTTGAGCCGGTTGCAGATCTTCGCTGCCTGAAGCAGCGTGTCCTTGGGACAGGCCAAGGGCAGGCAGTCTTGAGCGGTCCCCGGAGTTGCCCAACTGTCCCCGAACTCGTCGCTGGTGGCCACCTGATGACCCGCCGGTGTGGTCAGGTCGTCCGACACCAACTCGTTGTAGAAGCCGCAGAGACCGCCGAGAACTCCCTTGAGGCTCGAATCGACCTGCCAAGTCATAGGATATGGTTATTATAACCGAACCCAGACCTTTCTTTTTCCGCTTTCGGGACGGGACGGGACGCCATATCGTTGGTCGCTGTTCCCAAGGCATGTTCAGAATTAGCTCCTCTTCTTCCGATAACAAATATCTTGATTGGGCGGAATCCACGGTTATGTACTTTCAACGTGCATTTCACCTAATTATGATCGTTGTTCTTAGCAGACGATGAATAAGAGCAAGTGTTGAGCACACCCTGTCAACGACGACCAAAATATGACTTCGCATTAATACGGCTTTAACAACCACATCAACAAGTTCAGAATTTGTGATACTCATAAAACATGAATGGAATGCAGACGTTACAACCTTATAGTGCGCGTGAGACCTCTTGAGTAGTCACACCCATTTCAACCGTGATTTGGGTCCAGGCGAGCACTAAACACGTGATGAGGGTGCGTCAGAAGTCAAGTAAGTCATTTATGCGAACAAGGTTTGGTTAATTTAGTCCGTAAGATTGAGTCGCCTTCGCGATAAAACAAAATTATCTCTACTCATATTAAGATACCATTTTCTTGTGTATCAATACCGAATCTGGCAAAAATGCAGCCTGCTTTTCTGGTTGACGAACTCTGCAACCATGGTTTCTGATCTGAAGGCATCAGGGGGAGCAATAGTTGTGTGCGTCAGCTCAGCGCAGTTCGGAAACAGAGGAAGCGTAAGCTTGCACTCCAGAAACCAGAGACTTTGTATATTACCACCCCCCCCCCCCCCCCGCTTCTCCACCCCCTTCCCCGTTCTACATTAGTTGTAAAATTTTTAATCAGTAGCTAAGGCAGCATTTGTCACACTAAGGGACACTTATCTCCCTTTTTAGAACCCTCGGTACAACAAATAGCATGAATGAAGTCACATTTTAATACCAGCCGGAACCTCTTAGTATAGACATCCCTGTTTCTCCTGTGCCCTCAACTTGTATGGCGGCTTCCCTACTTTTGCAGCCGTCTACAGGCTCTCTCATTTAGGTGATATTAGTGGCTGGTACTTCAACGCAGATTGACATCGTCCTATTTTTTTTTTACACAAATATACTTTCCAGATTCCCTCTACCCAAAACAGACACCAAGCAGTGCCATGAGAACCTTTTGTCTTAAGACTACTGCCACTGGAAGACCCGAAAGCATGATAAAAACTGCGCAAATAGGCAGTACCGTATTTACTCGAGTAATAGACGCACTGTTAATGAACAAAGTCATGTGGGTCCGCTTTTTCAATAAGCACGCAAACAACTAATCACCGCAATTGACAGAACGATGCCAGCGATTTACGGGACAGAGACAAGGTCTTGACGCGAAAATGCCATATGTGTAGATCCCATTTTTAAAAAAAAAAATCGTGTTTTCAACTTTGTTGTTTACTATTTCTTTTTGTACAGAACACAGAATCTCGCGGTATGTTTGTCCTGGAAAAAAGTAGACACAAGGGCCTTGTTCAGAAGCCGTGAGTCTATTAGCGAGTAAACACTGTACCAAGTCGAACACAAGATAGCACCTGTTCTGTATGGTTCTCTCTGATTTCATCCCGTCTGTTTGCGCTCCTTTCAATGCGTCTATCACAATCACCAAGTATAGTCACTGACAGGGTAAGAAGGGCAGAGTGCGGACACCCGGCCTCCAGCATGCACTGGCAGCCTTCCACCGTGCTTCGGTAGCGCCTGCACGCTCGAGGCTGAAGGGACGCCAAAGTGTAATCCAAGGTAGGAAGCTGGCGCTGAAGGAGGGACGGCTGAGACTCACCCCTGCCGTTCTCAAACCCGCTAGTGACCACAGCCGAGCAATCCCTTATTTTCCTCGGGGGATCTCACCTCGATCTCCACACGTCCACGAACGTCTAGCTTGAGAACGAGGTTGTGGACGCGCGAACGGAAGTGGATCCTCTCTCCGACGCGCTCCAACTCGAAGTCCGGCAGCCGCTTGGTCAGCAGCTGGAGTTGATGGGCGCTGTATTCGTCCCCGTCTACGGTTGCCGACAGGTCGGCGTCCAGCACGATGCGATGGTGGCCGTGTTCCACGATCACGCGCTTGGGACAGCTCTCCTGGTTCTCCAGGCTGCAGTGTCGGTCCACTGCGAAGGGTATAGGAACAGAGCGTGTGCTGTTTTCAGTTTACTTCGGTTCTGTATTAGTCTCTCAAAGGTACTCAAGGCCGCAACCATACAGCCCATATATCATGCAAAAGACGCCATGTTCGCGGCAGACACAATGACATAATTGTCTGCGACAGACAAGCTTCAGGAATGGTCACAGCGTGTTTGTATTAAACATCTGTATGCTTCGAACATCCTTCAGACGGTTGTTGTATGACCGAACTGACAGGTCCATCGTGCAAGAAAGTCTCAGACAGTGAATGCAGGCTGTCTTTTGTATGATGCGGGGTGACTGCAGCTTAAAAAGAAAGCTTTACACGAGGGGGAAAGTAACTACAGCATAAAGTGTAGAACGTTAAAAAAGAAAACAAAAAAGATTAAAAATAACGACGCTGAACACGCTTCACAAATATGTTTTACGAGTGCCACGAAATTAGTTTTTAGTATTTTCACGGACAAGGTTCCTGGGCAATGAATTCCAGTCGGTAATGACGAGGGAACGCGAAGAGTTTTGAATTTTTTTTTTTTTTTTTTTCTGGAGAGCGGAGGCTGAACTTGGAGGGGACGATCGAGGCGCTTGCAAATGCAGAATGAGTCTTCGGGGCGCAGTTTTCTAAACTCAGATGATGAATAGAAGATGTCACGATAAAAACGGGGTGGGCTACGTCAGACGAATTAATTCGAAGCCTCATCATTCCGCTGTATGCTGTCATGATATTTGTTTCATTTTTTGGTGAAAATATAAAATATCATAGATAATTCGATGCCTCTACCCAATATAAAATGTCAGCGCGCTTTACCCACTAATCTATTTTCCAAGTGCATTAACTATACAACATACAGCCAATGGTGACGTAGAGGTTGCACTAAATCTGCGTTCTGACGTCCATATAGTTTGGTGATTGTTTTACTGATAAGTCTTTGTAAAATAGATGAAAGGGCATTTGTGGGTATTTTGTTTATGTTCAGTAAAGATGCGCTCAATGGAGTTGTCACAACGGAGTACAGACTAGGGCGGTGAAAGTAAAGTAACTTCGTACATTTTACAGGTAACAACTACGAACGCGAAAGACCTAGCTTACTTTGTACGAACAAACTGGCTTCTCAGTTTATCCAGGCTCCTGGCCGCCACCATTTTCCTCCTAAAAGCCACAGCGTGTCCCTTTCGGCTCTTCAAAGAATGTCGTCGCTTATTAGGAGTACGAAGATCGCCTTTTCCCTGCATACTTTAGTAGAAACGGCATTTCTGGAGCTCCGGTGAACTAAACTGTTTGGAAAGATGTTCAAATACACTTTCAATATTCTTTGTTTTCAAATATACCTCGTTCAAGTAACGAGCACCGTCTAGGGAGTTGTCTGCGAGCTACGAATGAAGGGCCGCCTAACATGCCTCCACCCGTCAGAACACATTGGCATCGTGCCGTTCTATTGGTTTCCATTGCTTTTTATGCAGCATACTACCGATGCTCAAAAGAGAGCTGTGAAAATAGACAAAATACGCGCAGAGAAACGTGCTGACAATGTTGGTCGTGCGTGGGAGTTGCCCTTCAAAAATGGCGACTGCGGGAAGCGAGGGTGAGGGAAAAGGGGGAACGCATCAGCAAGGGGCTCACTGCAAAAGAGTCCATTCTGGAAGCCTGTTTTACCCCCGGCTATGTCGGACCCTTGGTCGTTCCGGCTCAATTTTCCGCTCATTGTACACAGCGCGACACTGATAGCGCAAACGTAAGATCGCTAATTGTTTTTAGCATTAAAAGGTTTTTATATTAACTTCATGCGTGGTCAAAAGTGGTAATTTGGAGCACTTCCCTTCTCACTGGAGCACTAGGGACAACTTTTTCTGCAATTTCTGAGGAGAGGAGAACTCGAAGACTGCCGGCATTTCTGAACCTTTAGCTGCAGATGGCTGTACCCGAGTACGGCGGCGTCGCGCAGTGTCTGTTTATTTCCAGTGTTATTACGCCATTTCCTCAACGAGCGCAACCAATGAGATTGCGGCGTTAACCGATAAGAATGCTAAAAATCCAATCACGAGACAAGAGTTAATAGATATATTAAAAAAAAAAACGCCCTGCTTTCCTTATACTGCAGGCTATAGCTGCGAATGTGCTCAAAATGGCTCGTGAGTGTAGCGTTGCAGACAGAGCTGAGCACATTTCGTGTCGCTAATAAAAAATGAACCAAAACATATTTATGTTTTTTTTTTTTTTGTTGTTTTTTTTTTTTTCAGGTAGTACTCAGATTTTAAGAACCAGATGAAGGTAAGAAAATAACCATTGTATACAAATATGACTAGAGTTTCCATTAATTAGAAGAAAAGTGAAGCTGACACCACATGGGTCATGTGTTAAGGGTCACGTCATGTAGCCCATAACACATGAACCGGATGGTGTCAGCCTACCTGTCTGTTTTTTTTTTGTTTTTTTTTAATGCGAACTCAAGTCATTATACTAAAAAAGTGTTGATTTTTTGTGTAACTCTAAACTTCTAAAATATCAAGGTCGCTCTAAAGTATCTATCGGGTGCCGGCAACTGATTTTAGTATTCCCATCACCTCCAAGTGATTTGAACCCAGTTGTTTGGATTAAAATAGGTTACATGACGGTTTCTTTTAACGCCTTTCATCTCTCTTTTTGTTGTGTGTTCTTTGAACAAACAGCTCGGGTGAATATTGCCCCGGCCTGCATTTAGTTAAAAAAGTATTTGCTTTGCTGCGGAGGCTTAAACAAACAAGAAAAACAATTCGAGAAATGGGCGCAAAATTGCGATTCGCATCAAGGTAAACACGTGGCACAGTAAACGGACGGTACCTGAGATATACCTCATCGTAAATCCAATTTCGAGTGCCTTTGAAAACACAAACAATTATGTATTTGGGCAGTTTGTGAGACCCTTATATAATAAATGAAACTGTTCTAGACAATACAGCTTGAAAAATTGCGGTTCGAAGAAAATAGAATCAACATGCTTAGTCAGAGACCCATCTTCCTACAGTTGCCCTTTTCTCATCTTTGAAATATTGGAATATGAACACATCTAGAGTTCCGAACAAGATGGAAGACCGACTTATCACGACTTCGTAAAATGCGCGAGTGGATATTCTCTTCCTCCAAAGACTGTATTATGGGGATCAATTTAAATGTAAACACGAACGCAGAGATCTGAGCCGACCTCCTCTTGATTAACTTGCACTGAAAAAGTTAAATCCGCGTAACTTAATTCTGACATGGGTTTTGCGGAATGGTGATGTGACGATCCTTTTCACTTTCAACCTGGTTTTCTGTTCGCGAAGAGAATTTCTTCTGCCCCCTTTCGACGCGACCGTGTCGTGTTTATTAGTTCTTCGCAATAACGTTACGAGCACCGTTTATTTACATGTCTGTACTTTTGCGTGCTGATGTCAGCAGTTGGTTCCACCCTAAGCACGGTAAACGAGATAAAAAGAACGTGGTAGCTAGGCTAGGTGCCGCCCGTTTTTCGTCCTGGAAGTGGCCATATGAACTGAATCGCACAAAATACACACACATTCACCAGCCGTGCGAATGCATAATTTTGTGTGTTCAGTACTGTTTAGCTGGCAACTTTCGCAAGTAATGAATCAACTTTCTCAGCTTAAGCCCGCAGCGTGGATAATCGCCACGGTAGTAATAAATAATATTTTCATAGTTAACAGCTTCTAAGATGCGTTCGTCTATGTGAGGAGATTATATGGTGCCCATTATGGTTGCTTGACTTTCCGAAGTCTACTTAAGACATATCATCCGGGCATTTTGTTTTTCATATTTTAAAATAGACTTATCGATGAAACCGTAATAAGACATTGGTGAAGTAGTTCAGCATAAACGAGATATCACGTCACATTATGATTGCATACTTCTAACATAAATTTTGTTTTATTTGAAACGAAAAGATTCCGTGACAAAGACAGTCAAAGTCACAAGTTACATTTGCGTTTTCTAAGTGCCAAATCAAGAACGGGCATCTGGCTTGCCCCAGCAGAGGACTGAGGATTAATTTCTACCATCTGGGGATCTTTTCACGTGCAACCGAATAAAGCTGGATTACACGGCGCCTTTTCCGCACTAATCCTCCGTCATATTGCGGACACCTCGACCGGGATTCGAACTCGCCTCCCTAAGGATCTGTAGTCCGGCGCTCTGTCACGGGGCCATCGAGGCGGCTTCTGACAAAGCAAGATGATGAAATTTTACATATTTAAAAGACGAGGAAAATCAGACCCTACCTGAAATGGTGAGGTTTCCCCCCACAACGTCTTGTAGCAGGATGTGGTGACAGTAGCTGTAGTCGAATTCCCGGCCGTCGAAGGTCGAGAAGTGGTGGCCGACCAGCTCGCAGGAAGCCTTGGCTGCGCCACACAATCCCCAGCGTTTGACGGGCGCTTAGAACAACGTCCTCCCGAGCATGTATCCGTAATCGCCGTGAGTTGCAAACCAGTTAGTAGCGGCACTTTTGGTATTACACTCAATGTTTTTGGACCGACATCTCTTAACCTGAGGTGTACATAATAAGTCAAATGCATCGGACTCAGAAATCGCAAGAAACATCAAGGAATGCAACAATTGTACTATATTTCTGTAAGCCAAAAACATCACTTGGGGTTGACATAATATTCAAGAAATACCTTTTAAGAATACATTTTAGTTAACCATTTTTAAGCTTTGAATTATAATGGTATGACGATATTATTGAACCGCCATTAACATTTGACTACACATGAACAGCTATTTAAGCCTCCACAGCCCGAAAGACTGTCAGTCCTGAGAAGCAAAATACGGCCCACACTCCTGTAACAAACCCCAGAGTTTCTAGGCGTCTTTTCATGCTCTTCCCTCATTTTCTTGTTTCAGATATTTTCTTGCTTCGTCGTTTTATTCGATGTAGTCCATTGGGGCTTTTTCTGGTACTACTTTTATCCACCTAACTATCAATCTCTTACTGCTTGCATCATAATACTCCGGCGCACAAGCGTGACTCAAAAGGGATCTCCGCACATACTTTTCTTCTAAATTCACGAGGCCTCATCTGGCAGTGCGATGATCTCACAATATGGAACGATTGAATCCACAATCCTGCCATATTGGTATTGTAGAATTCGGGGAATAGAAAGTTTGAAGTGTATAGTATCGCCGCTTCCATGTTGCGATATTCTAGTTTCCTTCAATTGGGGATGCCTTTAATATTATTTACATTTTTCTTTTTTTTTTCGGCCGTTCAAATAAACCTCGCGTCGCATAAAGTTGAAACTCAGAATGTAGGCTTGTGGTTGTGATAGAACGCGAAAGTATTAGAACATGACGCTACTTGAATCAAAAGACAAAAAAGAAAGGCAAACTTTATCCATGAATCCATTCAAACCTAATAATGTCAAAATAAGAAATGACAAGGAGAGCTCCTGTAGCATTTATTCAAGTACAAGTATTTTTCACTTATATAAATGGCACATACGTCCTCAATGTTAACTCTTGTTTCGACGACATTAGTCATATGTTTACATCTGCCTGAAACAAATTTCGTCTTTCTCAATCAGCTTATATGGAAGTAGCAATATGATCTCAATCTTTCTTATTATATCCCAACCACTAGCATCCCATTTTCACAGACGTTAAGGTATCTGCTATGCATAGTTTATTTACTGGGGCCGAAAGACACAGTTTTCTACTCTCACGAACACCTGGTATTCTGGCCGTCTTGCATTATGGATGAAACAAATCATGTCTTGGCCCACACTACGCGCAAACTACATACAGCTAAAGGAGGTTTTGGCAGACTAACAAAAAAATGTTTACAAAGATTCCAATTTGATTACGTAACTTCTCACCTCCCACAAGATTCGCTGTTACATTTTACTAACGGCTCGGCAGTGTTCTCACCTCACGCTCAAACAAATACTTTTCTTCATATCTTACAGTCCTCTAACATAGTGTATTAGTACTCGTGGTGCGACCTACGATACCTCTAACCCTCATCACTCGTTGGCAAAAATTAACAATTTAAAATGCAACTCACTCGAACTACATAAAAGAATAGTATATCTTATATGATAAAATGTGCATTCTCACACACACTATGAAACACAAAATTCTTGTTTTGCGGAATAACTACAACTACAAACAACTTCATTTCAATAGCAGTATCTTTAAAGGGTTCCCGTCCGACGAATGTAAATTCGCCATTTTAAACTTCTTCAGTGTCGCAACATCTACCGGGAAAATGGATTAAATTCTGTGGAGCAAAATCCTGCTTTTTCAAGTGATTTTAAAAATTTGCTTAACGTTAACAAAGCACTCACTCGTCTCTTCGTAATTCACATTTGTGACCATCGCACTTTTAGTTTAGTAAATTAATTTAACTTGAAAAATCTACCAAATTCTCTGTACATGTGGGCAAAGTTGTATTTTATTTTGTTCTTTAATAACCAACATAGCTCACTCTGCACTTCAGATGACTTTTAATGAACCTAAACTAGCCAGCCTTTTGTGGGTTCGCCTGCTTTCTCAAGAATCTATATATGTATTTTCATGAACTTACTAATGAATTGGCGATTTCATTTATTTCTTAGGAATATCTGTTTCATATTAAGATATACAGAGTCTTGCCTCAATGTGATAACTGTGGGAGACCGGTTACGTCAACGGAGCTGGGATAAAACGGAAGGAAAATGTGGCCTTTAGCAGTGGAGGTGCATAAAATTGGACTTTGGATTGGCGAAACACAAAATGGCGTACTTACTCGGTGGTGGTGGCACGATAATGGGACGCTCCCCGCTCTCTGCAACAGCAAGCAAAAGTACTTCGTGCGGTTGATCGCGAAGGGCAAGAACGTTCACAAAAACGCGACTCTGTATAACTATATGTTCAATTTGATGTATCATTGCAGAGATACATTCCAACCCACATTTATAAGTGCTAGAAAGAACCGTACTTCCCAGTTATTTTCTGTAATCATCTTGAAGAGGCAATTCGCGAACAAGTTTTTGCATGATGGGCTAGGTTTTGAGAAGAAACACTGGAAGTATAAAACTCTTAATGTAACATCTAAAAATCTCTTCGTTGCTACACGACTGAGACGCAACTCTGTTTAAGAACAATTTACATTTCCTCAGAGAGAACACCTGAACTGCATGATATGCCTATAATTTACAAAATACTCAGGCACTGTACTCGCTGTAGGCCGGGAAAGTTGTTCGCCCTACTGGAAAATACGGGTGGCAATAGGTGCGAATTATCAATACCTTAAATGCGCGCCTTTTTTTCTTCTTTTTGTGCGCGTCTTTTGTTTCCGTATGGCATACTCTAGCTGTTCTCACCACGCGATTCCTCCAGTGTCGGCAAAAGGAATGTAGAAAGCCTAGAATACCGCGATTTCTATGGCTTTGCAACTCAGCTATGCTCGGGGACAGGATGACTGGTCAAGAGGCAATTGGGCACGAACCAACGTGTCGCGCCGAAAAAGTGTGACTGCTGCATGAACAGCTCGTTTCGCCGACGGATGAGAGCGAAAAGCTGCATGAAATGTATATGTTGCGCAACGTTTTCCGAACAAAGCGTGGCAGGTATGTCTTACCGCAGGAGAAATGCTCGCAGCCCTGGTCGTCCGTCTGGAGAGTCATCGTCTGGCCCTTGCCGCAGAAGACTTTCGCAACAGGTGGGCACGGAGCGGGGGTTTTTGCTTTCGGAAACGAGAGAGTGCGTATTGTTATTCCAACGCTCGGAACTCCGCAAATTTTAATGACTGACCACTTTCGCAAAAGTATTCTAGTCTCTCTGACAGCATGTTCACGCCTCTTGCTTTGTGAATGGTTCTTTGGCACTCTTAACGGCTGATGTTTCAATCTTATTGGCTGCTGGACAATCATAAGACAATCGGGACTTGGGCCCCTTTCCGTTTCTCAAGCTGTTAATGGAAGAAAAACCTCAGGTTTAGCGAGTCAGGTAATGAAGAGGAGAGTCGTCTATTAGGTAGCATAAATAATAATGATGGTGGCAAGCGTGAATGCTGGGCGCTCTCGTCGTAATGCGAAGAGCAAGTCGTCTGCTCCTTGCGCAAGGGTTGCTGTGACGTCAAAACGACGCGGAGGTCTGATTGGCTTTGATTGGAAGGATAGTGGGTAGAGCTCAATGCTAGATGCCTTGAGGTCTACCCACTATTTGTTTCAATCAGCCAATAAGAGCTCGGCGTTCTGACGTTATCGAAACCCCTCTGCCAGAAGCAGAAAAACTTCCGATCTGCATAGATGCGGGAAGTGGGTAAAGGGGGGAGGGAGGGAGTGCAGAATTTGATATATGCGGAACGAATCACACTTGAGATAATGAGAAAGGTTACCAACGACGGGGTGTTGTTTCCCGCGGCCGACATCAAAATAGGAATGGAAAGTGATTCGTCTTTGCAAAGTATTGCCTGTTGTCACGAGACACCATTGAAGTTTTACTTCCTTGTTGACCTTCGTTTATAAATAAAACGTTTATCACTGTTACTTATTGTGACATATATATCCCTTTGTGGCAGGCGAAATAAAATCTCGGAAAGAAAACCGGCCAAGATACCTGCACCCCAGTACAAGATAGTGTGACCCTCTTGTGACTCGATTTTTCTTCGAGCATTCCCGAGACCAACTCTAATAATCAAAACCCGTGTACAGGCATTTGGATGTCATCACGGGGAGATCGAAGGCAGACACAGATTGGATGTGAGAGCTGCGTGAGCGTTCGGCTGGCCACCCTGTGTCCAGTAAAGTTTGAAGCTGTATTTGAGAGAATTTTACGGTTGTCCCTTTTCTGTCTTCTTGTTTTTGGAGCTTTTCAGTGTCGTCCTTAGACGTTACACTATAAGGAGAGTCGAAGGGTGGGATTACACGAAGAATATGCCGAAACGTCCCGCTCTTTTACGTCATTGTCAAATCTATGGGGGCTTTCTGTTTCCTCCGCTGCTTCCTTAATAAAAAACAAATCTTCCGATGAATCCACGTAGGTATGGTCAGAATCACACATAACTAACTTGGGGACTTTCCACACTCAATTCTATAGGAACTTAAAAAGTGGGCGTCATTTGTTTTTTCAAACCTATCGCCTTCGTTTAAGTAAATTCTTCCTGTGGCGCTGTTTAGGCAGCCATATGTTAGTAAAAGTCACTAAGCGAAATAGGTTTTTATTTGTTAGCTTAACATTGCTCAAATTGTTTGAAGCAACATAACGCTATATTGACTTCACTTCCCAGTGAAAACCTCAATTCCGCGCTATTTGATGTTAGAGACTACACCCTTGGCTAAGGAAATTGGAGATCCAGACAAAACGCACTATCACGTAATCTAGAGCGCAGCAGCAAACACTTCTATGGCATACCCTCGCATTGTGCTTCGTCATCGGGGCAGTTGACAACGCCGTCGCACCACAGATCCTCGTTGACGCATTCGCCAGACGTGGGACAAAGGCGCTGACCTTCCGGGCAGCCACCGCAGTCACACGAGCAGTCCGGATTCAAGATCTTGGCTCTGCCCTGGAACGCACACAGAAGGTATCATTCCTGTTAGTCATTTAACCATATCATTCTAACACTTTCTAATATTGTCATAAGGATCGCTGCAAAGTTACTACTGGTTCCGGCAGGGTCAAAATCACCAAACTGTTTCGAATGACGAAACCTCAGCGGGTTCTTTTGGCCATTCATGTGTCTGGATTACGCTCTAGACCTCTGTGCCTGTAGAGAGACTAGAAAATACCTGACGGTCGTGATAAAACAAAAACAAAAAAGTCTAGGCAAAGCACGTTAACAAAAAATTCCCGTTTCGTGATTATTTTTGGGAGCAAAGAGTAGCATATGGCGAGTTGGTATTGAAGCCATTTGGTGGACTGGATCGAATGGCCTAGGGAACTCTCACTGATAAGCCTAACGATTTATTTTTTGTACCGCAGCAAGAGCTTGCCTGAAAACAAAAAAAAAAAAAAGAAACTAACACTGTCATTGGAACACTGCGCTCTGTGTGACGCACGATGTGTACTCGATGCACCCGACGTTCATTTCCGTGAAATTCCTGCAAATCCCGAAGCGTCAGAACTAATCTAAAGACTCTCTCATGCGCCTTGTGTTAGTAGGCTGAACTCTGTTGCATTTTAGCATAATCTTAATGTTTGCGAATGAGTTCAAGAGCCTTAATTTTTCATACATGTTGCAGAGCTAAGAGTTCGTACTATGCTGGTCTTTTCAATTTAATTTGTCCCAGGCATTTACAACAACTTATTGGCAATCATACATCAGTTGTCAGTTAGTGTCTGTCCTCTGTGTGTGTTAGGATGTGCGTGCGTGTGCATGTGCGCGTCTGTGTATGTGTGTGTATGCATGTGCGTGCGTGCGTGCGCGTACATGTGTGTGTGTACCCGTCGTTTTTGCGCATTTTTCGTTATGTCCATCTACCAACTAGCCCAGAAACCCACTAGTTTATAGTTTCAGGCGTTCACTTTCGGTGCGGACGCTAGTCAGTAACTAACTGTGGAAAAGAAAAAAAAACATGTTCACGCAATAAGCGAAAGCATGCAGGCGAGCTGGTTCGAAAACATCTTATCTAAACCTTGTCGTCTTGTCGGTTATTTTATTGATCTGTGTCTCAGGGTTTTGATTATGATGTTCATGCAGCTTGACAAAAACTGCAGCGTCCTCGAGGTGCTTTACACCTCAGGAGTTCCCGGCGTCATGCTGGTTTGTAGCGTTCACGTGCAATGGTATCCGGTTCCGCTCACCTCAGGGCACGCTGGGCAGGCTATTGGCAGACAGTTGGAACGCCCTCCAAGTTGACACTGGCACTCTTGGCACGTCCTCGTCTCCAGGATTCCTCCCACCTGCGTGAAAAGGGGTCGTTGTATGCATAACGATGTCGACAGGGTTGATCTGTCTCTTAGATCACCTCAACCACGGTCACTGCGAAGGAGCGCACGCGCTCACGAACACATAAAGTTGATTGCGCCGTCGTTGTCTTTGCATACATTGATACCTTCAGTCATTGAATAAGTGAGATGAAATGATGCATGATTGTTTACGAAGAATATATTTAATGTGTCGTTTTCTTTGGCATGAACGAGCGTCTTAAACTAGGGTCATGAACAAGTGACACGTTGGGAGCGTTTCACAGTTCGATTTATTCGTAAGATTTAGCGGGTAATTAACGTCGTGACGACGACGCGTGACATGAATGCCAGTATAGTTTACCCATTGAATTTATCTGGATAAAGTTACTAACTTGGGTAATATGTTACATGATTTAATGTCACGTGGCGTATTACAAAAATATTCGAGGCAAAACAAATATTTTAATATAAGGGTATATGGTTTGATCAGGACAGATTTTGTGTTCACAGGACTTTTTCAGCATGATCGAACGTGTGTAATTATTAAATGAATCACAATTTTTCGCAAAGCTTAGTTTGATTAAGATTAGTCACACGTTATGTACCCAGAGCGAAAAATGCAAGTATTGCTGTAGGCGCTGTGGAAGCGAAGCAGTGCTTGTATAGTTGTTAGCGTTTTTCTATGCATGATTTCGTTGGTTTATTTTAATGTAGATTACTACCTGCTAACAATTACAAGCCCAATAGTGACAGGACGTCGAAGTGGACGTTCATCGAAAGTTGTCTGAGTCACTTAATTGTCCCGAAGCCGGCTTAAAATAACGGGTGTTTCCAGTGTTTCCATAATCGCGAAAATAAACTTTGCATCGCCAGACGCTCAGCCATTGTTCAAATGCACGTAGCTCCAGTGGTTCTCAACATCATAATAAACCAGTTAATTTAAAAAAAAGTTGAAGCCTTTAGAAATAAGGCAATGATACAATAATATTATATCGATTGAATACAAAAAGGGTGTTTCAGTTGTTAAAGATGGAAGTTCTCGGTTAGTTGAATGGTTTGGTAGAAACTGTATGAAAGTAAAGAAAAAGAAAATTTGTTTCCTAATCTTTTTAATCCTCTTTTTGTCAATGCCATTTAACACAGTTTATATTCATTACTTTGGAGATATAATCATATTAAATTTTCATATGGCGAAAATAGATCGGAAACTATTTGACAGTGACCTTTTGTGGAATTCTATCACGTCATATGTTTCTTCTACACGGAGAAACGTATCTTGTCTTTCGTTTAATACGACATCACTAACATCATTTATAATAAGGACATATGCGTCTAAAGTCGTATGAGTAAAATATATGGGAAGTCTATTTCAAAATAGCTCACTTTATTCTCGCCTTTGTTATGTGTCATGCCTCAACTAGAGTTCCTGTATAGGCTCCCTACGGGAGTCAGAGTTGCGCGTTCATGCATGGTTATGTGGATACAGCTCCTCACTTGACTGAATTCGGCGAATAGCAGCGCCGCGCGTTCGATGCGCGCGGCGCGCTCAAAAGCCGAGGAACGTACCCCAGGGCGCGTGCAACGTCTACTGTGCTGCACGACACTTGATACGGCTCCTCACGTGATCGGATCTCAGCGAATAGTGGCGAGGGCGGCACGCGGCACGTGGAATCAAACGCGCAACTCTGGCTCCCGTAGAGAGACTATACAGGGGGGCTATGTTGCACGTTTTGGGCTCCCAGGAGACTAGGGAGAAGGAAGTGACGTAGGTGTGAATGAACGTGTTTTAGCAACCTCCGCAGATACCGCCATCAGCGACTCCACCAATCAGCATCCAAAGAGCGTTGTTGACGTCACTTCCTTCTCCATAGTCTCCTGGGAGTCCAAAACGTGCAACATTGCCCCCAGGAACTCTAGTCTCAACCAAGTAGTGACTTCTCGCCAGCGTACGCAATCTGCGTGTTATGAGCAGAACAAGGCCACCACCAAGTATGCCCATGAAAAGATCCAAGAGGATCAAATAAATAGGAAAAAGGTAATACATATTTGCATTCTCTTACTTTTAGATATATTTGCGTTTCGTATAATGATTTAATAAAGTTAGAAGTTGGTATTTACCGTTCGTTGCGCGTAACTTTAATTTCGTATGTACTTTGATTTTTTCTTACTTTCACTTTCATATACTGATGTTAGAAAATATGTGAACACGGTTTGTGTTTCGCGTCAGCTTTTATGCGTATATAGTTGAATTTTTTGTCGAAGTTGTGTGCATGAGATTTTTTTCTTGTTTTGGTTTGTATAATGATATAAGAACTGGAACGTATCCAACTTTTTATTTGAACATTACTCGATTATTAAGCGTATCTTTCCTTCTTTATGTAGGTTGCTTTTGTGTCCTACAATGAATATCCTGCTTACAAATTTGAGAAGGGCCCCAGACCAGGGTCGTAACCCGGGAAGGGACTTCTGCATGGAGGTAGGGAGCTTCTGGAGGCGGCATGACACCGCAAGAGGTGAAACCAGAAGTGTGGAGGCACACGACCCCAACGATGAATAAAACCACAGCTGTTTTCGGCACCCTCGGGCCAAAACCAAAACAACTGCTGTGGTTTCGGTCATCATTGGGGACGCATCCCTTTAAACTTTTGGCTTAATCTCTGGTGGCATCATGTCACATCCAGAAGCTTCCTACTTGCATAAGCTTATGAACTTCAGACCCCCCCCCCCCTCCCCCCTTTTTCCGTTCCGAACGAAATCCAGCCGACCTTTTAATATACATATGCATTTCCACCTCCGCTTCCCCCTCTCCGCACCCCAAATTGTGGACATCCTAGCCACCTCCCACCCCCTCCCCCTTCCTTCTCCCCTCCCCCTCGCCCCCCCCCCCCCCCCCCCAAAAAAAAAAAGAAAGATTCCTGGCTCCGCCACTGCCCCAGAGCGAGTCAAGTTGCTTCTGGCAGAGTTTTTTTCAGGTGCTCTGCTGGCTTCAAGGTCTTAAATAAAATAATATATTGATTGAATGCATTCCCAACGGCCATAATTTACAAAAATTTAAATACCGAGTTATTTTCAAAAACGCTGCCCACTGCTCCCATCAGCCGCCGATCCACACTTCCAACGAGTAGTGCGCTCAGCGCTTTGAGGTCTCGGCTTATCGATCTCCGCCATCGATCGGCACATTAGGAAAGAAGCGCCGAGGTTATTGATAATCTCTTCGCTCGTCGCGCTCCTCCCCGGAGAACCGAGGGCAATTACCACAAAACTCGTGACGGGGTCGCCCGCGTTCTCAAACCCAAAGAATCACACGAGCCGCGTGGCGTGCGGCCTACCGATTATCCCTGCAGAAACGTGTTTACATTCCCTCCTTCATGCTCTGACGGGATCGATCCAAAACTTGATTCTACGGGAATGCACGGTTAGCCGAGTATACGATTACGGGGTTCTGACGGTCGCGCGCACGTGTACTCGGGTTGGGTGTATGTTTACGCGGCGGGAATTTAGTCCGCCCCACTGGCTGTCTGGTGTCTTTCGGCTGTAGATGAGAAATTAAGCCGGTGAAGTACAAACCGCTAAACTGGAGTCTTTAACCTGCACCAAGCGATAGTGATACAGGACCGCACGCCGGTACGAAGCTCTTCCAGATCAAAGCGGATAGCGGTTGGAATTTAACCATAGCCTTCTATATACTGACAAAGCCTAGCAGACCGCCACGAGAAGCGGCCGCCAAAATGGAAAGGACGGAGCTGCGGACAACGGATGAGAGGACAGCCACGTGACTGGCGCCCCGCTGCGTCGAGACGCCGAAACACACTTCTCCCGAGCGGACAAGTGGGTTTCGGGTCCTCGCCGCTGCAAAAGTTGTGCGCTGACGTCCAGGTTCCCCGGGAAATGGCTCTTTGATGCTCTGTGCTACCAGATCCTCGCACTCCAAGTCAGCGACTGTGCACTCTATGGCTCCATCGTCGAACTTCCAGGCTTTGTGAGTATAGAGGAGGCTATGATTGAGTCCAGGATGCCCGGGGTTGTGCAGCGCCAGCTTTCGTTCGACGTGCTCCTAGTTGCGGTGCGTCAACGCACTCGGGCATTAATCGCTTACCTGTGGGTTGACAACGAAAGTATCTCGGCAGTGAGCAGAAAAGTACCCCGCGTAGCTCCAGCTTCAAAGGTCACGACAACGTCAGCTCATTGATGCATTAATTGGCAGGCGTTCCGCAACCGCTCGTTTGCGCAGTTATCACTGCGTGGTGTTGTTTCACTAACCCAGGTATAGCAGTCGCACTGTACTGGTCAAACTGCACTTGTACCGGGAGTAAATATAAGCGTTCATTAAAAACAAAACAAAAAGAAAACAACGCTAGCTTTTTTCGCGCATAATCTTCAGACTCGCCATTATTCGGTCAGTGGTTCTTTAACCTCGCAAAAAGAAACAGAACATTTCCAGTCGTGTGGTTATGCCACTATGGCGGAGAGGCACTGAGTTGGGCACAAAACGTATGGTGAACATCACACTATATCGTTCGTTTGCGTGGTCGTGCAAGCGAGGGCAATATCCATTCAAACTTGTAAGCTAAACTTCTGCACTTCTAAAATACAGCCCTCCCGTTTTCCACGAAGCAACAAGGCAGAGGGCTCTCCACCAGTTCCCGAGAAGACTCGGCAAAATTGCGTAATTAAACTCGCGCATTAACTTCTTCTTTTTTTTTTTTTTTTTTGTACCGCGGTCTTTTTTTAAATTTAAGGTCTGCACTTATAGTTTAAAACCTAGCTACTAATTTTAGCTTATTGTTCCTACTCCTCGCTTTTCGCTAGTACTTTTAGAACCAGCGAACCTGCAACATTGGGACAAAAAAAAAAATGTAAGAAGTATATACGCTTTTCAGTTTACTTGAAAAGTTACTCGTAAAACAATATAAACTTGACCGAGTGTATGAGGAATGGCGAACTAAAGCAATACCACCCCGAAGACAAGACCTGCACCTCCCAATAATGCGTTTACACTGGCGAATTCGCGGCCAAATCCCAGCCGGCGGTGAGTGGATGTTCGAGCCGGCTGGCGAAATCAACTCGTCGCTGGCAAAAAAAATATGGATCGGTCCGAGACCCATATCCAGAGTTTCCACCAGCGACGAGTCTATTTGGCCCGCGAATCCGCAAGTGTAAACGCACCACAAGACGGACGCGGCGACTTTCGTCGCTTGCCGCTTGGAGCGGCTCGGGGACCCCACTAACGATGACGTCATGCTCAGGCCTTGTTTTCTGGGTGTCCTGACTAAAGGCAGCTTTCAACCAAAAGACACTAGGGGAAAGTTATCGAGCTTTTTGTTTTGCATTTAGCGTAGGGAAAGTTGCCAAGCCGTACCGGGAAGTGCTTCCCGTCTCTGACGCAGGGGCAGTCTGCCTCGTGGACGCAACGGAGCCCGTCGCAGGCAAAGCCCACGGGACAGCCTTGGCCGCAGGAAGTCGCGTTCTCGCCGGACACTTCGGGGCAGTGGACGGCGGTCAACTCGGGCGTGGGCGTCGACTCCTCCAGGGCCCCTGAAACCAAAGTAGAGAGTCGCGTCTTTTTCTGGACGGGTAAGAAGGGGCTCTCGTTTTAAACTTGAATATTCATTTATTAACTCTTGTGAATCTTATTGGGTAGGTACGGTTTGCAGACACAATGAGCGTTTTTTTTAAAGCGCCAGATAAGACAGATATTGCAGCGTCATTGGCGGAGCTTGCAATGGCGAACTAGCTCACTCTTTAAGCTTGTGGGATCAAGTGCGCCTCGTTAAATATTATTTTAAGCTCTAAGTTTATCTTCTCGTTTTATTCGTGACAATTTATTGTTTTTTGTGTGTGTTTTTACTTTTGCACTACGTCTAGGTAAAGTCTGCGGAAATGATGATTGTGCATAAATGTTTGTGTTCTGTATTGACTACTTATTCATAAAAATATAAAATATAAATATATTTCTCCGGTCTTCTAATTCAAAGACCGTAATGGTCGAGTTGAATGTGTCTTGGGATTTATACCTTTAAGGCCTTTTTTTTTTTATAATACTTAGCTCGTTTTTATTTTTTTCAATACAATAATGCAGCTCTTTCATACATAGTGGACTTTTCGCACTGATTAGCTTTGAAGAAGAACGAAGCCGGAGTGTCTTTTACCGTTTTATTTTCTGTAATATTTTTATGAACCAAAAGTTTTTCTTTTATACGTTAAAAAGAAAAATATATATATTTTGAGTTTATGTTCTGTTGTACATTGTGGGTTTATTATGGGGCCATATAGTCTCGTTGTTTATTCATATTTACTTCCTCAAACTAGATTAGTTCAGAGAAGCCGTCAACTAACAGCTTTTCGCGACTAATCCACAAGTTCGTGCCAGACTACAGGCCTCCAGACAAAACCCGAGGCTCACAAAATTCGAGTTCCATCGGAACTCATCGGCTCCCTCTTGAACGCTCCCGAGTTCAAGAGCGTCTGTGCCCTCTGCGGGCGTACACAACAGCCCCACGAGACTGGAAGCGCCCTCAAAGAGACGATGACCCGAAACTAGAGAAGCAAAGCTGGCACGTCTCGGAGATTCTGACGGTACAGTTCCCGGCGGAGTCGACGCGGCCGTATTGTTTGAACCGAGTGCACCGGCATCGGGCAAGAACAATGGGAAAGACAGTCGGTGGATCGAAGAGGATCAGCAAACTTTCGTAGACTGCTACAGGCCGTGGCGAGTTCACTGCCTTCTGTGGTAGTTTCGCTAATAGATAAGTACGTGGACGAGCATCCCAACTTACGCCAGATCATTTGGTTCGGAAATTCCCTGGCGCTTCTTGAAAGATTGGGTTTCACGAAATACCACCACTCTGTGTGGATAAAGCATCGAGAGGACTCGAAAGTTTTCTTTCTTACTTAGTACGTGTAGATGGAAGGTTTATATTCTGGCAAGCGTGCATTTTGAAATATTAGAGATTAAATATATTAAGGTCCGAGTGTGCGGTACCTGAAAAGCGTTCTTACATATATAGTGGAGAGTTTTTTTTCTCTCTCGCTTTTTTTTTTTTCTTTTTTGCGAATAGCTTTTTATGTTTGAGAAACGTTTGCCAGCTCTTTCAAACAAGGAAAGGCAAGTGTCTGTTTAATACTAGACAAGAAATACTAGAAATAATAGAATTCTAGAATACTAGAATAATACTAGAAAAATGCGTAGGTTAGCACGCGACAAAGAAAAAGTAAATTGATATATGTATGCTGTACAACATTTCGTTTCGAGAACCTAGGCATTTCTCCGTGACTTGTGTTGCACGTAAAACGAAACAAATTCAATCAGACAAAAAAACAATGGCAAATGACCACACAGAGCGTGCAGAGATCGGCAGCGCTAGCTGCCGCGTTGTGGAAAGGCAGGTTGAAGGATATTTGCCTGCTGCAAATGGGCTGTTCAGTGATTGCAATGGGTTCTTGGGTTTCAATGGAATTGATGCAGGAGACTCTGTTTGGCGGAAGGATTGTGCGAGATGTTGCATCTGCTAAAAAAAACACCGAAATCCTTTTCTTTTTTTTTTTTGCTGAAACATTTTTTTTAGGACGGCGGCGCCTGTCATTGGGCGTGTGGTGGAAAAAGCGAAAGTAGGTGCGCGAACGGTTCTGTACACGCGCGGAGAGTTCCTCGAGACCGGAATCTGGGAGGCGGCGGTGGGGAGGCGAGGAGCGTGTCCGCACAAACCGACCACGTGGGCATTTTGCAACGGCGGCTGCCGGAAAAAAGCCGCCTCGGTGGCTCCGAGGCGAGAGCGCCGGCCTACGGATCCCCAGGTGGCGGGTTCGAATCCCGACCGAGGTGCCCGCAATCTGACGGAGGCTTATTGCGGAGAAGGCGCCGTGTAACCGAGCTTTCGGTTGCACGTCAAAAGATCCCCAGGCGGTCGAAATTAATCCTCAGTCCTCCGCTGGGGCGTGCCAGATGCCCGTCGTAGGTTTGGCACGTAAAACCCCCAAATTTGACTTTTTTGGCGGCCGGAAAGGGGGCACTTGGCGAGAATGTCGGTCAGAAATCCAGTGTCCGTGATTGGCCGGCGCCGGGCTTGATTTCGGCGCCTGCCAATCAAGGCCGCCTGATTCCTCGCCGACTGTTTCGCCAATTGTGTCCGAATCAGACTTGTACATAACGAGTTTCAAGTAACGGGTTGCTTGTAATCAATTAACATTTTATTGTAACTTTTTTAACGCTTCAATAACTTTTTTCTGCGGTAGCGTTCGCTGTAATTCGATTAGTATTTTTCTGTAATTATTTATATGTTTTCGAAAGGGCCAAAATGATTCAGTTGAGTTTTTTACGTAAAAATTCTTGTCTGCCTGTGCTTCACTCGTCTAATTTGCACCAACATTGGACATTCTTTTTACCCCTAAACAACTACGAAAACATACCAAGATAGCAGAATTATTAGAATATCCACGCGCTCATCGACGTTTTGACGGTCGAGCTGTCCAGAGTGCCTCGTTTCCTGTGTACCAGATGATACGGTCCGAATTTGCCGCGGGACTCTCTTCTGCACTGACCTCATCTAGCCGCGACAAAGACACACCTCCCCCCCCCCCCCTCCTTTCCTTTCCCACACACACATTCCATCTCGAAAGAGTTCACCAGCGCTTGCTTGTATAGAACGCTCTAAAAACGGAAAGTTTTCTTACCTACGATTACCTACGATTTGCAACAAAACAAAACCACTCTGAACATATATATGCATTTTTAGTTTCGCAACAGTTAAAAAAGTAACGTGAAACGTTATCAATTACTTGCTGATAAATGTTCAATTAATTTTGTGATGCAGTAATTCATTATTGTAATCAGTCACAATTTTTATTAAACACTAGTGCCAGAGTATTGCATTTCAGAAGGCAACCAAAAAGGATTTGCACTCACGGCATGTCCAGCACTTGACTCGTACTTTGTAGTTGAGGCAGGGCCTGGAGTCCTGCTCGTGGTTAAGGCAGCGGAGACCGTGCTCCAGATCGCACGTAACCCTCTGGCCAGTGGATCTGTAGTCGGCGTCGGTGGCGTACTCTCGGCACTCAATTCCCATGGGCTCCCGGCACATGTCGGACTCGTCGATGATGCGCCTAATGTCCTCGACGTCTCCTTCGGACTCCAGTCCAGGGTCCGTGGTGCTGACCCAGGGTCCGTACGCCACGCAAGGCTCCGGAGGCAGGGTGACGACTGCATCCCGTACAGGCAACAGAGACGTCAGCAGTTAAGGCGAGCTGGTCACAACTTCACAATATGTTTACATCAGTCTCATGAACGCTCACTCTAAACCCCATGATTCTTTATTCACTCAAATAGTACAGGAAGTGTTTACAAAGTATGTCCTCACATGTAGCTAACGTCACACACGTCCATTCCCGACCTTTACGACCTGTCTAATGAGCTAGCGAATGCTGACACCCTGCGAGCATCGCTTCCCCGAAAAGGAAGTTAAATCTGCGCAGCCTTTCGTCATGAGAAGGGTCAGCAGATTAGAACATAATCTCTGCACGAGTCCGACTCCCGATAGTCCTTGTGTAAATCGTAGACAAGACGACAAGGTCACCAGCAAGATGAGGAACTGGTTGTCGATATGTTTACTTGGGTCGCTAAACCTGTTGAACACAGAGATTATTTCAGTTATAACGTATGGGGAAGGGGCAAAATAACGCCGCAAGAGAGGGAAATTACTTTATTTCGGGTTAAATAAAAACCCTGGAGGTGCTTATCTGCTGAGCAAAGATTTCTTTTCTTAGGACCAATTCAGACAGGGCAACTTTCCCAGCAATTTTATTGTTGCTGGAGAGTCGTTCCCTAGCTTTCCCTAGATCCTAAATGTAGTTGCTGGGAGAAATTTCCCTGTCTGAGGAGGGCCTTACAAACCCGCAAGCCATTTATCTTCGGGGCGTGTTTTAGTTGCAGTGGGGAAAAATTCCTATCTCTAGGCGCCGAACAACGCTCGCACGAGTGAGCGGGTGGAGACGACTGTTGTTCATACGTGTGACGTCACGTCAAAAATTATCAGCTGCGACCAACATGTTTGATGGTCTCTAAGAAGCACGGCGGGGGCTTGGGCTAATTGTGTTCTAAAATCAACACCACCGAAGATGACTGTCTGATATCGTTTTTCATTTCGGCCGATAAAGCGGAATTCATTAAAATATTGTCCCTGCCGCTCTTTTTTTTCTTTTTTTTTTTCCTCTCTGTCTTTTAGATATGATCCAAGTTTCGCCTGACGTGGCTAGGTCAGAACCAGCCGAGTAGCGTTGTCTGCCTTTGTGCGGATTTCGCCTCCGGGTAGTTGTCCCCAACGATCGTAGATCTCGGTCAGTTGAAAAGCTTCGGAAAACGGCTGTCGCCTTTTTGCAGCGCGTCCGCTCGGTCGTGCCTGCTTCACTATCAGCCCGGCCTATGGACAGACGCGGCGAAACCGGACGAATGTCGGATGCACATTAACTGATGTGGAAAGATATTTCATTGCGGTTTTTATAGTAAACATGAGTTTTGCGCCACACTTGACGCAAAACAAAAAGCGACGTTGAAAAGATGTCCTTCACCGTTGCCCGTAGAGGCGTTGACTCTGTCGGCGCTAGCAATGCTATCCGCCCTTATCTGCTCGCGTCCCGGCACAAAGAGGAACCGTCTGGAAACGCCACTTTTCCGTGGAGCTTGTCAACTGATAGATCTAAAAACTTTGGTTGTCCCCGCATCGACGGGATCAAACCAATAGGGAGTATTCAATGGCGGCCATAGCTGTGTGCGCGAATGCTGAGCGCGTGCTGATGGCGAGCTTCCACAGTTCTTTTGCAACATACATTCCGCACCATCAAGAGTGCCGTTCTTAGCAGCCTATTGATGTGAGCTCGTTCTGAGCATGCGCTTTAGACAGCACCCACAAATATGGCGTCCAGTGAATACTCCCTATAGACCTATCGCTATATTACCCAAGCATCAAGGAGAACGCCGGGATTGGTGTTCCACGCGCCGCACGTGCTGGCCTCGGCCGTAGTAACTTTTCTAGAGCAAATACCGAAAACAAGTGGCATCTTGCACGCACGTTCCTCAACGCTTTAGTTTGGTTATTTACTTCGAATCCTTTATACAGGGAAGGCGTGCGCGTGCTGAGGCGTGGAACACCAATCCCTGCATTCTCCTTGATGCTTGATAATATAGCAAATGGTCTATTTACTGTGTTTTTCTTCATAAAGGCTATTGTCAATGTTGGCTACCAATATCGTCGGTGTGGTCGGTTTTCCAATATTAACCTAATTGGAACGAATTCTGGTGTCATCAATGGGAGTACGAGTATATCGGGTTGTCAATACGGACGGTGATGCTCTAAGAACTCGATGACTCCAAGCTTCCATCGTACACAATCAAACGTGCCACCGTCGATTCGAACACGCATTATCGAACTTGTCATTCACAACTGATCATCCTGACCCTAACGTCAAGGGTCAGAGCTATAAAAGGACGTCACTGAACGCCCCTGCACACTACGAACGCGGGCACGAGCCTCTTGCTTGGAAGTCTATTATGGCCGCTCCTGTAGACCACGGTGCTGTAGACCGATCTCACCAGCCAGTTTGACTACGCCACCGATGCCGGAGTGCATCGAGGAAACTTTAGTCTTTTTGCACGCGCGACAACCCCGCTGGAGCTCTTGGCGTGCGGAGCACGACACAGCACGAGCCGTCTTGTGTACTGCCCTCTGCCTCCTGTGAACTAAAGTTATGGCGGCGTCACGCGTGCGTCGAATGCTTAGTGACGTCGGTCTATCCTAGAAACTCTGGAACCATTCTTTCGAAAATTGTACGCCGCGCTGCTCCTCGTCGCCGCTCAGTTGCGACGCCTCTAAGCAGGGGCGTCGAAACATGGTACAGAGAAAAGGCCGATTCACCCCCCTCCCTCCTTCAGTGGCATCGAAAAAGAGACAATGAGCGTAAAGGGGTAAGGAGGAAAGGCGATCGCCTCATCTCCTGACCATAGCTTCTTATATAGTTCCCAGATGTTTTAAAAAGCTATAATAAAAAATTCAATGGAAGTGAAGTCTCCCCCCCCCCCCCCCCCTTTTTCTACCTCTGTCTCTTTTTGAAACGTTTTCTATGGCACTTCTGACCCTTATTTCTTTGTGTGTGTGTGTTGGTCGTACCCTTTTTTATTTCCCTTGCCCCTTCTTTCGTCCCGCCATTCCTCGTCACCCCCTCATTTCTCAAACACTACCGACGTCACCAGCCAGACCGGCTCTCGCTGAGCCCGGTGGCGTTGTTGACAATGGCGGAAGATGAGCTCTAAAGCCGCGCTCAGCGCGCACGGTTCCACAATATCAAAGAGTTTAATCTTCGATTTGATTCTGAATAACCACTTCCTAAAGTTGTGAAACGGCACTTTGTCGCCACCGATAACTTCCACAAACGACGATCTCGTGACGAGAAAGTTCATAGTATTCACAGCCCGCCAAGGGACAATCAAAACAGGCTTGACACTAACTCGGCGTGTCTCAGAATCAAAGAGGTCGTGTGGGCGTCGTATTTAAATCAGGCAATTAACGAAAAAATAAAACACAAAGTGTATTTACACTAATAAATCTATCTAATCTACATCATTACACAGAAGTGTCTCGATCGGCTTTTCTGTCGTTCGCCTCGTGCCGCTCGTGACTCCCATCTTCTTCTTTCTTCTCGTTTTCTCGTGAACTTCAAGTTCTTTCCAATCTGCAACATCCTCCCTCCCCCCCTTTTTGTTTCCCATGAGAATGGCCTTGGCTCATTCACTTGCCAGTTCCAGGGGGTAAAGGAGCTGCACGGGGCGCTGAAGCGTTACCCCGCTTGGTTGGCTTACGAGACAGGAACGCACGTGGTTGTCTCTGCCCAGCTGAACTGTTTCGATCCTCTCCGTTTTCCACGTGAGCCGTGGGGTCTTGTGTTCGTGAACAAGGACGAGGTTTCCGTTCTGTAGGTCGTTTGTTCGCGTCTCGGGCGATAGGTGCGCGGAGCGGAGCTGAAGGAGGTATTCCTTCCGCCATCTCCGCCAGAATTGGTTCAGCAGTTGCTACCTGTGTAGCCAACGTCTCGTGATGTCCCCTCTCGCAGAACCTGGTATAGCTTCTACGTTGACTAATGGGAAAGCCGTCAGACGCCTGCCAAACAAGAAGTGTGCAGGTGTCAAAGCATCCTGCTCGTGTGGAGCGTCGTGAACAGGGGCCAAAGGTCGAGAATTCACGACGGCTTCCGCCTCGTGTAACATGGTTGTCAGTTCTTCGAAACTAAACTTATTCTGGACTGGTGAAGGCGAGCGGGTTGAACATGAATCCATAAAATTGAAAGAATAAAACACAGAGGACAAGCACAGGACAACCACTTTCTTTGTGAAAGAAAGTGGTTGTCCTCTGTGTTTTATTCTTTCAATTTTATGTAAACTTATTCCTTCCTAGCAGATTCCGTAGACTATGCTTTACTGCCTGGACCATCCTTTCCCAGAGCCTGCCCAACCAGGCTGCTCTCTCGGCGATAAACTTCCACTTTATCCGATGGAGTGAGCAGTGGTCCTAGAAGCGTCGGTTTGGGAGCACGTCCCATACGCTGCAGAAGTCCTTTGCTGCCCTCTTAAAGGTAAGGGTAAACGACGCTGGGTAAGCCACGTCGAGCAGTAAAGCGCTGGAAGGCCATTATGAACGCTTCTGTCAATAGGTTGGAGAAAAGCTCTAGGCGTATGACTCTCGTCACCGCACATGTGAAACGCCCAACATACGACACTTCATCTGATGCTGCAGTTTCTACCATCAGTGGGCCCGCAAAGTCGATCCCGACCGCCTCAAAAGAATTCGTTTGGGTAATCCGATCCTGCGGCAAAGGTGCGGTCGGAGCGTTAGCCGGCTTGAGTCCGGCCAATCGACAACCATTACATTTGTTGATGACCTTCTTGGCCAGCTGTCTTGCTCGCGGTATCCAGAACCACTCTCGGACTTGGGTTAAGGTGTCCTGAAGTCCGCCGTGCAGTGTTCAACGATGGCAGTCTCTTACCAAAAACTCAGTGAAGCGGTGATCGAGAGGTAGCAAAAGCGGGTACTTGACCTCGATTGTTTCGTTTGACTGTTGCAGTCGTCCCCCACCCGCCACAATCGATTGGGGTCAATGAAGGGGGAGAGCGAGACTATGCTGGATCGCCTTTCCAGATTCTTATCTGCCATTAGA